AGGGCGGCGACGGGCCGTGATAGGGCGGCGCGAGGGGCTGCGGAGGGCGGCGACGGGCCGTAGGGGGCCGTGAGGGGCCGCGGGAGGGGCCGTAAGGGGCGTAAGGGGCCGCGCGAGGGGCCGTAAGGGACGGCGCGAGGGGCCGTAAGGGGCCGCTAAGGGCGGCGCGAGGGGCCGACGGGCGGCGCGAGGGGCCGTAAGGGGCCGTAAGGGCGGCGCGAGGGGCCGTAAGGGTGGCACGAGGGGCCGTAAGGGCGGCGCAAGGGGCCGTGAGAGGGGCCGCTAAGGGCGACGCGAAGGGGCCGTGAGGGGCCGTGAGAGGGCGCGACTGTAGGGAGGGCACACAGGGCGCGACTCGGGCAGGAGCGAAGCGCGCTCCGGGCAGGAAAAAAAAAATTCGTGGTGGGCCCTAGGAAGTGTTCCCACTAGGGAACCTGCTCGATACCATGAGAAGAAACGAGGAATGAAAATGACTAAAGGAAAGTTGGGTACAAAAGCAAACCCTAGAAAACTGTACCCCATATGTGCTACCCCACTATAGCCTACAGTAGCTATGTCATATAAATCTGACACAAAGAAGGCTTCGCAAGCATCACCGAGAGTAAGCAACAAGGATATTATCTATCTTGCACTGAAGAATTCAACACCTTTGCAAGCTTTCCAAGTTACGGGCCAGAGAAGCTTTCCAAAGTGTTTAGGCGTGTGCTTGTTCAAGACAGAACTACGGTAACGAATTGTCCGCGGTGTACAATAGCGCGATAAATATTGGTCAGTACATGAGCACGAATGGTCTGGTCGATGTTATCATGGTGATGCAATAGCGCGATAAAAATGGCCCGTACATGAGCATGAACGGTCTTGACTATGTGATTCTGATGATGTTATCACTCTGTAGCACGCTGACGCGACCAGCGCTACATGGTCGAGAAGAAAACCATGGCTCTCGTTAGATTGCATGAGATTCTGAATGGCATTGGCTAAACAATGACTTATTTATGTAATGCATAACGCAAGGCAGCGTTGAGAATAAAGGCTTCGAAAATTGTACATGCTTCACCGCTGTCAATCACTTGTGAGGTGACATACTGAGGATTGAGGCATTCAGATATATGTACGTGTGTATCATTTGTGCGTAATACTTGCGAAAACAGTATGGACCGCATATTTCAATGCCAAGGAAAAGCGGTTGTTCGTCAACTTTGATCATGGGCATCACAACTTTCGAGATGAAAAACGCATCATTGAAAAATCCGTACTTGCCAGGATACACGTAAGACGAGACCCTCTTCACGAGACCGTCGTCGTAGGGTGGAACATATTGCGTCAGATGCGTAGAGAAGATTTGTGCCAATGCAAACGCAAAGTAGTGTGCGCGTAAGGCCACAATGCAAGTATTCGTAGCGGAGGTGCTCATGACACAAGCACGAGCCGAGTTTGGATAGACACTTTGTTCATGATAATGCTTTCCGCAGCATCGTACCAAAGAGGCACACGCACGTGCCTTTTCTGTTCAAACAACCAACGAAGAATGAACATATGCTCGTGAGATGAACCTGAAGTGATCCATGAGTACATCGACGCACGTGCAAAATACTTTGTAAGATGGCAGGCTAGATCATTGTTGTGGTTGTGACACATTCCGTGTCGATACAAACGTAAACGCGAGGACAAGATGCTCATCACGACCCACAGTAGGGCATACCCTTATACCCTGCATAGTGTTTGCGTGGGGATGGTTTTTCATATCCAATAATGACCAATAGAATTCTGGTTGTGTGAGTATATAGAAGAAACCACGCTCTAATTTCCTTGACCGGATGCCAAGACGCGGTGTCGTCGAATAAACCCTTAAGCATGTATACATGCATGTTGCCATATAGCCACAGAGTAAAGAAGGAACCTTTGTAACGGATGTACTGTACTTGTAAGGCCAATGCAAAGTCTGTTATGATGGATTGGTTTCTTCAAAAGGCAGCCCTTGCTACAATTCTTATGCCAAACATGACAATCTCAAAGAAGAACGTCAAATGAGTCACAATAATGGCAATGGCAAAAAGAACCTGGCAAACGCCAGGGTTGATAACGCCAACCCGCATGTAGAGACGTTACGTCAAATGTTCGCAAAATCCGCATGGGAACGCTGGTAACTACCGTGATTGATATTGGCAGTTCCGTCCAAAACAAACGTGTAACTTTGCAAAACAATACCGCGAGCAAAGACTTCATCATCTCAAGCGGTTGATCCCAGCCACCAAGCTCATGTCATTCAGAATGGCAGACAACCAAATGTCCAATCCAAACCCAACGTTTAATCTCCACGTGTAGTTTCAGCAACTTCAACTTGGAAAATCGAATGAGTGATATACGATATCGTAATTGGTAGAGGGCATATTTACGCCATAAACAACTTCAAACGCCAATATTGCCCCCCCCCCCCCCCTTTTTTTTTTTTTTAATTACCGGTAGCAATGGTGGTGTAAGCGCAACTGACCGATATCTCGGTATCAATAGTAATGCATGTCCTTTGCACATTCGCGATGCGACCCATTGGGTGGAAGAACTTCATAGTCCAATTGTTTTGGGTTTTATATAAAAACCAGGGATTTAAGAAATGATCTATTTCGCTCAAAGGGTAACGCATAAAATAGAAATTTGCCCTGGCAAATGCCAAATTACTTTACTCTTTATTTTAATACGTATCATTTTTGGAATTTTATCATACGCCTGGCCCTTTTTTTTTTTTTTTTTTTTTTTTTCACAGCAACGAGATTTTGCCGTGTTGTCTTGCAAAGGCGTAATCTTATAAGGCCATAATTAAAATGCCATAATCTTTATAAGGCCATGACCTTAAAAGGCCATCACTGAGATTGCACTGAGCACTCCTATAGGTATGAGTGCTTTCCAGCACTACCAGCAGCTGCAACGGCAGCACCAACACGAGCATCAGCAGCAACAGAAGTCATCCACAGAGTGCAGTACACCATCCACAGCAGCGCCACCAGTGGCGACCTCCTTAGCACCTGCAGTAGATCGCGCACCACACGCCGCCAGCAACAGATCGCGAGGCACCAGCAGCAGATCGCGCAGCATCAGCAGCAGATTGCGCAGCATCAGCAGCAAATCGCGCAGCATCAGCAGCAACTCCTGCACCGTCAGCAGCAGCGCGCGCAGTGTCAGCAGCAGATCCCGCAGCGTCAGCAGCAGCTCGCGAATCGTCGACAGCAGATCTCGCAGCAGCGGCAAATCGCGAGCTGCATCAGCAAATCGCGAGCTGCAGCAGCAAATCGCGAGCTGCATCAGCAAATTGCGAGCTGCAGCAGCAAATCGCGGGCTGCAGCAGGAAATCGCGAGCAGCAGCAGCAAATCGCGAGCAGCAGCAGCAAATCGCGAGGAGCGGCATCAGATCCGAACACCAGCAGTAGATCTCGCAGCGCCACCAGCAGATCGCAGCAGCAAATCTCGCCGCATCAACAGATCTCGCAGCAACAGCAGCAAATCGGAAGCACCTGCAGCAAATCGCGAGCCGCAACAGCAGAAATCACAGCAACCGCATCGACCACGAACACCAGCACCAAATCTCACCGCAGGGACCGCAGATTGCGTGGTAACGGCAGCCGCAGACTACGCGACGAACTTATCGATTGTGCAGCCGCGGCGATCGCGCAACGGCAGCCGGTGGTAGGAGCCATTGCGACATTAATCGCACTAGCAGAAGCTGTCAAATGCTATATCCCGCAATTTCATCATTCTGCACCAGCAGCAGTAAACAACCTCGCCATGCACACTCTGAACGCACCACCGCAGCAACATCCGACGAAGATGGTTTCACTCGTAAAAAGCATAAGTGGTGATTTCGTCAAGTACGGCGGCGTTAGGAGCAGGATAACATAGAGGCGGCAATGGCGGGGAGGTTGATAGTTTCCATGTGTGTGCTTGTAGATTCAGATCTACGAATGAAATGGACTAGGTGGCAGGTCCGTGGACCTGCCACAAGATAAGGAGCACTTGACTCCTTACTGCATGCTCCTTTACAAGTCTTGTCACAATCTTTAAATTTTGAAATATAATTCAAATTTTTTCATATTCTTCCAACTCCTCATCTGCCTCCTTTCCCTTGCCATTGCCACTGCCCTCCCCCTCTCTTGCTGGAGGTGCTGCTGCCACATTCAGTGTCAGTTTCGTTACGACGTAGTGTAATCAGTGTCCCTTAAAAAAAAAAACCTGAAAGTTCAGAGTCATCTGGCCCCTGAAGGCTGAAAAATCAGTCCCCCAAAAAGCTGAACACTGGAAAATCAGGGTAGGTACAAAAAAATCCCTGAAAATCAGGAATTTCAGGGAAAATTTCCTGATATCGTAGGGCCTGCCTACGGTACATGAAGAGTACTGGTATTTCAGTAGTAACTTACCAATGAAAAAATTAGCATAACAATAGTGAAATGAAATATTTCGATCCGTAATATATGGACACCACTATTTAACCACCATACGTCAATACTGCGCCTGAAAAAAAAAAAATATAGCCTAATGTGAGCAAATAATTGCATTCCAATTAACAAAATAATGTATGATTTGTTGTTTGGTTGTAATAAAGGTTGCAAACAAAAGGTACACTGAAGTTGACCAAATCGAATAACATATTGACAAGAAGATATGAATGACACATATTTCTACTACTCAATTATCAACAAGCAAACCACTAGCAACAGATTGGATTTTATATAACTTGGGGAACCGACTTACACTAAAGAGGATATTTTGCTGACTTGGTTTGGCTAGGGTTTCGTTCTCCTCCCAACCAACTGCTCCTCTCAATTGCTCTCTACCCTTTCTCTCACGCTCTTTCCAACTCTCGTCAATCTAGAACTCCAACGACCTTCTCAGGTACTACGCTACCTTGTTAGTGCTTAAGCCGCGCGCGCCTAGAGCGCTTGCCCTTGACCCTCGCACATTAGGCAAAATAGCATAGAGCACTCGCGGCCTTAGCGCTCAAACCTAGGCCGATGGCGCCTAGGTGGCTGTCCCTTGGGCGTTAACGCCAAGGGCGTTGGCCTTAGGGCGCTCGCGCCTTTGCCGTCATTGGCGTGTAAGGCGCGGGCGCCGTTGGCGCTGGCGCCGTTCGCGGTGGCCCCTTTGTGCGCGGGCGCCGTGGGCGCTGGCGCTGGCGCTGGCTCCGTTTGGCGCAGGCGCTGGCGTTGGCGCCTTTTGGCGCTGGCGCTGGCGCCTTTTGGCGCTGGCGCTTGCGCCGTTTGGCGCTGGCGCTGGTGCTGGCGCCTTTTGGTGCTGGCGCTGGCGCTGGCTCCGTTTGGCGCTGGCGCTGGCGCCTTTTGGCGCTGGCGCTGGCGCTGGCGCCGTTTGGCGCAGGCGTTGGCGCCTTTTGGCGCTGGTGCTGGCGCCTTTTGGCGCTGGCGCTGGCGCTGGCGCCTTTTGGCGCTGGCGCTGGCGCTGGCGCCGTTTGGCGCAGCCGCTGGCGCCTTTAGGCGCTGGTGCTGGCGTCGTTTGGCGTTTGCGTTTGCTGATGTCATGTGCACATGGTGATAACTCATACCCTCCCCTCCCCCGCCCGTTCTCCACACCCGCTTTCCAGGGATGTGGCTTGTAAGGGCTCCGCGGCGGCGGCAACAGCAACGGGGGGCTGCGAGCAACGTCGGCACAAGACGGTGAGCGAGGGGAATAGACAGTAGAAAATGACGACAGGGCGAGGAAGAGGGCGAGTACGGCTAGGGAGAGGGAGAGGGAGAGGGAGAGGGAGAGGGAGAGGGAGAGGGAGAGGGTGAGGGAGAGGGAGGGGAAGAGGTAGAGAAAGAGGGAGAGGGAGAGGGAGAGAAAGGGCGAGAGAGAGGGAAGGAGAGGGCAGGGGTTGGTAGAGTTGTATAGAAATACGGAGGTTAAGAAATGTAACCAAATTTTGTGTTTTCCTGAACTTTGGGCATTGTTATCTTTCGCGTTGGCTTCTAGGGTACTTGGTTGGGCACGTTAACGTAGCGCTATGGCGGCGTGGGCCCTAACTTCCCGGTCCCTTCCCCCCCCCCCCCCCCCCCCCCCCCCCCCCCCCCTCTCGAATCTTACCTTATTTCTCATACCTTTGTTTGTAGTTTATGCTTATCGATGTTGGTTTCCTCTTGCGTTTCACTTCACTACCAATAAAATATTGGGAGAGAGCGGATGTGAGAGTGAAGGAAGAGCTGGAGGGAGCACCAAGAGCGTGTGGTAGGGAGCGTGGGAGGGAGAGGCGGCGTGCACCGTTGGCCTGGGCTCGCGAGTGCACGTGAGAGTGCGCGTGAGCGAGCGCGTGAGGGAGCTCGCGAGAGTGCGCGTGGGAGTGCGCGTGAGAGTGCACGTGAGAGTGCGCGTGAGCGAGCGCGTGAGGGAGCTCGTGAGAGTGCGCGTGGGAGTGCGCGTGAGAGTGCGTGTGAGAGAGCGTGTAAAAAGAGTGCGCGCGTGAGATAGTGCGTGAGAGCGCGTGAGAGTGCGCGTGAGAGTGCGCGTGAGAGAGTGCGTAACAGTGCGTGTGCGCGTGAGAGTGCGCGTGAGAGGCCGCGTGAGAGGGCAGGTGAGGGAGCGCGTGAGAGAGCGCGTGAGAGGGCGCGTGAGAGGGTGCGTGAGAGGGCGCGTGAGAGTGCGCGTGAGAGTGCGCGTGAGTGAGCGCGTGAGAGTGCACGTGAGTGAGCGCGCGAGAGACGCGTGAGGGAGCGAGTGAGAGAGTGCGTGAGAGTGCGCGTGAGAGAGCGCGTGAGGGAGCGCGTCAGAGAGCGCGCGAGAGTCTGCGTGAAAGTTAGCGTGAGAGTGTGCGAGAGAGTGCGTGTGAGAGAGCGCGTGAGATAGCGTGTAGGTTTGTGTGTTTGTTTCTCAGGGAGTGTCTAAGAAAGTTGAGAGTCTTAGTGTGTCTGTGTGTGAGTGGGTGCAAGATTGAGTACAAGAGTGAGCGGAGCGTGATTGTGAAGTTGAACGTGAGGGTGGCTGTAATGTATTGCATCATGTTGGCGTAGTACTGTGGTGCCACACCATTTTACTTCTGTAAGTTGGCAACTTTCCATTGCTTGTCAAGTTTCCTGCTTGGCCTCCTCGAGAGGAAGCATTATGCGTTTTATTGATTTTTTTGTACAGTGTGTGAACATTCTTTGTTTTTGCCTTTTTCTTGTGCAGGGCGCGTGCTTTGCATTCTCTGTTTTTGCTCAATGCAGGGCGCGTGAGCTGCATTCGTTGATTTTGTTTGGCAGAGAAGGGAGATGAGGGAGGGGGTGGGAGGGAGATGAGGGAGGGAGGGAGGGAGGGAGGGAGGGAGGGAGGAAGGGAGGGAGGGAGGGAGGGAGGGAGGTGGGGAGGGAGGGAGGTGGGGAGGGAGGGAGGGGGGACGGAGGGGTGTAGGGAGGGTAAGGGGTGATTGGCTAGTGATTATTTATTAATAGCTGAATTTCATGATGATTGGGTGTTGACTATCCGTATGTATCTGTGCTAGTTTGCGTGCGTGTCAGTGTGTATGTGAGTGTGTGAGCCTGTGTGAGATATGTATGTGCAGTCGTGTTGTTCGTTTCGTTTTGTGCCTGTCTCAAGGCGTGTGCTGAAGTGCCTCGTGTATGCAACTCAGGTTGTGATCGCCGGTGGGGCAATAGCCTTAGCGTGCCAGACCAACCTTTGTTGCATCATCGATGCATTTTAGCATTCTCCCCAAGACACGTATTATTGTTATGCGTTGTCGTCGTTGTACCAGTACAATGTCGCATGTGCTCGTTCGTGTTTGTTGTAAGGTGTCATGTTAAAGTGTGTCAGGTCTGCAATTGAGGTGGGGATCGCTGTTGGGGCAGCGTTGCTCGCCTTAGCATACCGGATCCATCGCTATTGTAGCACTGATGCATTTTGCCATTCACTTTATGACATTTAATATTGTAAAGTGTCGTCGTTTTGCACACGTTCTATACGGTAGATGCAAATACCGTAATTTGCATCCACGTTGAATTTATTGTCTCGTCAATTGTGTGTGATCTACGTAAAATATTGCGAGGCTACCAATTGTTTCCATTCGCCGTATTTATCGACGATTTTGGAACAATTGGTCTCATTTGGTTTCACTTTTTTTGGAGACTCTTGTGTAGCAGTGCCTGTCATCTCCACGCATTTGAAGCACACGTTCTCAAAACGTTAAAGCGAGTGCTTCAGACGTTGGGAACGTGACAAAAAAGGTGCACTGTTCATTCGAGTCGACCGAAAAAAGTGCTATCAAATGTAAAGGGGTTGCTACGCAACCCAAAAATCCATACCTTGCCACTAATTACATTCTAGCCTCATCAATGAAATGTTTGGGTGAAATAACAAACATAATGCTGTAGTACTTTGTATTTGCTATGCTCTCGTTGTTGACTTCATGGTTTCCACCCTGCCTATGTCGTAATCGTCTTCAATCACGTCCCACTTATGGCATTACTTACATGCATGTATTCCGAACAACAACAACAACAACAACAACAACAACAACAACAACAACAACAACAACAACAACAACAACAACAACAACAACAACAACAACAACAACAACAACAACAACAACAACAACAACAACAACAACAACAACAACAACAACAACAACAACAACAACAACAACAACAACAACAACAACAACAACAACAACAACAACAACAACAACAACAACAACAACAACAACAACAACAACAACAACAACAACAACAACAACAACAACAACAACAACAACAACAACAACAACAACAACAACAACAACAACAACAACAACAACAACAACAACAACAACAACAACAACAACAACAACAACAACAACAACAACAACAACAACAACAACAACAACAACAACAACAACAACAACAACAACAACAACAACAACAACAACAACAACAACAACAACAACAACAACAACAACAACAACAACAACAACAACAACAACAACAACAACAACAACAACAACAACAACAACAACAACAACAACAACAACAACAACAACAACAACAACAACAACAACAACAACAACAACAACAACAACAACAACAACAACAACAACAACAACAACAACAACAACAACAACAACAACAACAACAACAACAACAACAACAACAACAACAACAACTACTACTACTACTACTACTACTACTACTACTACTACTACAACAACAATCTTGATATGAGGTTTTCTTGATACGAGGATAGGAATACGCTCTTAAATGTGATATTTATAAGGAACCAATTTATATGGAAGTTAGTGTGTCCAACTGCCTACGGCACCCCCCTTTCTGCTGCCGTCGTATATGAGAGAAACCCCCCACCCCTCCCCCTCTCCCCACCCCCCTTCCCACAGTCAGACAGCCCGGGCAGCGCACTCGAAAGTAGTCCCAAAGCATTCCTGACGATTTTGGCGCATTCGCCAATTTTTTAGCGGCAACAATTTTCGCATGCTCGAGTCGGCGAAATTCGACATCGCGTTACTTGAACGAAAGTCTCGTCAGTAGCCGTTCAGAATGCGCCAGAACGATTGTGCTGCCCACAAACCGAAATAAACCAGCGATAAGTAACGTGGCTCGAAACCAGGTCGCGTCCATCAATTGGAGCCGTAGATCTTGAAAAAATCGAACGTCTAACAACACATAAAATTTCACGTTTCGAAACGAATGCAACACTGAATGCGACGCGACAAACAGAATAAATCATGAGTGTGATCTCGACCGTTGCGCAAATCGCTTGGAATTTCATCCGTAGATCAAGCACAAGCACATTCCAGGAAGCAACATAACACAATTTCTTCCGCGCAAAATTGGCAAAGCAGGTTTGATCGCGGTAGCAAAATTGCCACCTTGCCGTCAAACCCTGCCACGGGCTATACACAGCAACTTACAACGATCGGAAACCATCGAGTAAAGTGGTCCAATCGACCATCCCATACACAACACCCCCTACATTTTTGAGATGGTCGCCAGCATCCGCGCAAAGTCGCATGCAGTATGTCGCCAGCATCCGCACAACGTCGCACGCGGAAGGTCGCACGCAGTTGGTCGCCAACATCCGCACACGATAGCATGTGGTACGTCGCGATCATCCGCACGCCCTCGCACGTAATTAGTCGCCATCTTCCGCACACGGACGCGCGCGGTACGTCGCATGGCGCCATCTTCCGCCATCTTCCGCACACGGACACAGACGCGCGCGGTACGTCGCATGCCGTTCGTCGCACATCGACGCATGCCGATCGTCGCACGCGGTAAGTCGCCAAAATCCGCACACAGTCGCGCGTGGTAAGTAGCACGGCCTCGCACGCAATTAGTCGCCATCTTCCGCACACGGACGCGCGCGGTTGCATGCCGTTCTTCGCACATCGTCGCACGCGGTAAGTTGCCAAAATCCGCACACCGTCGCACGCGGTAAGTCGCCATCATCCGCACACCGTCGCACGGGGAACATCGCCCGCGGTACGTCGCATGCCGTTTGTCGCACATCGTCGTATGCGCCATGTCGCCCAGCATCCGCACGGCGCCGCATGCGAAACGTCGCACGCGTTAAGTCGCCATCTTCCGCACACCGTACGCGGCTGGCCGCCGTCTTCCACACACGGTCAACCGTGTGAAGTCGTAATCGTCCACACACCATCGCACAGGGAACGTCGCACGCGGTTCGTCGCCATCTTCCACACATCGTCGCATGCAGTATGTCGCCAGCATCCGCACAATGTTGCACGCGGAAGGTCGCACACAGTGTGTCTGTCACTGTGTCGCCGTGAGTAACCGTGACGCCGGATGCCGGTTGCCTTGAGACTGCTTCCGTCGTCCCGAAGGTCAGGATGATGATGATACTCGTAGATCATTACGGACGCCGGATGCTGGTCGCCTTGATACTTGAGATTCACTCTCCAATCTGTCCATTACGTCGCCAATCTGACGTGAAAACCGTCGACCCTGTTGGAAACTGCCGTAATAACACTCCGTGCTTCCAGTGCTGCCTGAAGATGCTAGCAGAAGCGTCTCGTATGTCATTCCTGACACGGTGCTGCTTCACGTATCATAATGCCTTGACTTAACGTTCGGCTTTCGGCGACCATAGCAGCTATCGGCGAGAGGTTGGATGTACGACCATTTCGGAACGACGCTTAAACGGAACGGAAGCGGCATACGCTTCAACTAGAGCGGTGGAAACCGTATCAGGAAAGACCCGTCGCGGATCATGTTTGCCGGCATAGAAATACCGGTTAATACTCAGTTTATCCGAATCCAGATGCTGAGATTTAACGTAAGTAGCGTTCGCGGAAACTAAAACGGTGGGAATTCCTACGAATCATAGGTACCGCGGTTATAAGCTAAGAGTCAAGCAGTTAGCATCAGCCAATCATTCTCCCACCGAGACAGACTTATCGAGATAAGCTACTACTGTCATAAATCTTCTTCAGAATATGATCTAATCGCAATAGGCTACATCTCTGAGAGATTTTGACAGCAGCCATGGCGTGCTGAGAAAGCACGAGCTAACGCTTACTTGAGAAAATCAGTGAAGTGAATCAAGGAACTGGAATTCGGCAGAGGTGACTGGAATGGCCTTGGGAATGTCGCCAGGTTGACTTGGTCAGGGAGGCTGCATGGACTTGGTGGAGGGAGGTGATGACAGGCGAGAGGAGTCGCCAAAACAGAGGCTTCCGCTGGTCTCCGCACACCACACAGGTCCGCGCGAAAAAATCGCGAGCAAATGAAAAAGGAGTAACTCATCAGACGACTTTCGCCACAAGCATGGAGTCCAACGCAGCCGCTAAACGGCGCTAGGCTGGGGTCTTTGTATCCCGACGAAGCGCAGTTTTTGAATATTCCGCGCGGGAGAATTCTGCAGCAGGTCTCCAGGAAAAGGTTCCGCCATTTTGGATCATCGCTGCAAGTTTTCCGTCTCTCATCACACAGTCTCTGTAAAGTGTGCAATATTCAGGCTTATGTCGGCATCACAAGACAAAGAAACCACATACATTTTTATCCAACATTAACTTTTCACTACCAGACATTCTATACTAACGCATGTACCAATGAGGATTAGAAGGCCTTACAAAAATAAATGTAATACCAGTAAAACGACGCAAACAACGCGAGAGCACATATACTTGTTGGAGATGTTACGAAGCCAGCCCGCCAGCACCCTGGTCTTCCCAAATCTTGCCTAATGCTCCCTAGTTGCAATTGATATTGGTACCAACCAATGCATTCAGTTCAGTAGCAAGGTTTCTTACAGGCAAACTACCAAGATATTCCTTGGTTCATGCACTGGTTGACACTAGGAGATGCTATCATATTAGTTAGTACAAATACTAGGAGAATATTGTTTCGTTTTTGCAAGAAGAACCCTAATCATGATGGTACGGAATATCGTACGATCATCATGTCATCTTCTCCACACCACGTACGGTATGTGTGACTATACACTCAACTGTATAAGAGCGTGTTCCTATCCTCGTATCAAGATAACCTCGTATCGTATCAGGCTCACACTGAAAATTCCCCTAAACCCAAAACCTCTCGCTAGTTTTACCAGGCAAAAACAGCATTCTTGATACGAGGTTTCCTGATATGAGGCCGTAGGAACACGCTCTAACAGTACACGAACACTACCGTCCGTTTAGTAAGAGTAGCTAGCCATGGCAGCAGCAGAGCAGAGGCAGAGGGCGGTGAGAGTGAGGGCCATGAGCAGCAGCAGCAGCATCCTCCACACCACGTGCCGGCTCAACCACCTTCTCTCTGCCCACTCCACCCCATGCGACACCACCCGCCCTCTGTCTGAGCGTAGAGCACAGACAAGGGGGGAGCGGCGACGGGCACGCATAGGGGACGACAGCTGGGGGGATGCATGCCTGGGTGGTGTCTGCTGGGGCGAGTGTTGCTGAGGGGTGGAGGGTAGCACGGGTGAAGATAGGCAGGTGGCGGGATCGATCATGCCGTTACAAGGGTGCTCCAGTGGAAGCGAGTCAGAAGGACCTGATAACGATGCGCCTCTGGCTGCCTCTGCTGCCGTTCCTGCCTGTGCTGCAGCACCCGCCTCTCCCCCGCTCTCCCCATGCCTCTGCTCCGCCCAGGGCCCTCCTCTCCCCTCTGCCTCTCCCTCTGCTTCTTCCTCGCAGCACACTGCGCATATGCAGCCGCCTGCCAGCCTAGCTGGCACGCTGACTTGGAGCCCAAAGAGATCGGAGAGTGATGACGTGGCAGAAGATCCGCCACCAATGATGTGCACCTTGCTGCGCGTGGTTGAGCTCAGCAGCTGGCGATGAGAGCAATGGAGGGGAGGGGGAGAGAGGGGACGAGATGGGTGGGGAGGGGGTGGGATGGGATGGGAGGGAGAGGAGGAGAGGGGGGAGGGGATGGGAGGGGAGGGAAAGGGAGGGGAGGGGAGGTGAAGGGGAGGGGAGGTGAAGGGGAGGGGGAGGGGAAGGGAAGGGAGGGGAGGGAAGGGGAGATGGGAGGCAGAAAGCAAGCAGCAAGATGAACGGGTGAACAGAATACCTACTGCAGCCCCCCACCCACACCTACGTCATCCCCCCTCCCCACCTCCAACACCCCCATCCCCCACCTCCAACACCCCCATCCCCCACCTCCAACACCCCCATCCCCCATCTCCAACACCCCCATCCCCCACCTCCAACACCCCCATCCCCCACCTCCACCACCCCCATCCCCCACCTCCACCACCCCCATCCCCCACCTCCAACACCCCCATCCCCCACCTCCAACACCCCCATCCCCCACCTCCAACACCCCCATCCCCCACCTCCACCACCCCCATCCCCCACCTCCACCACCCCCATCCCCCACCTCCACCACCCCCATCCCCCACCTCCACCACCCCCATCCCCCACCTCCACCACCCCCATCCCCCACCTCCACCACCCCCATCCCCCACCTCCACCACCCCCATCCCCCACCTCCAACACCCCCATCCCCCACCTGCAGCATGGCGCGGGCCAGGAGGCGCAGCGAGGCCGGCAGGTGCAGCACGTGCAGGCGGGCCATGCGGTGCGGGAAGTTGCGGTGCAGAGCGGTGATGGTGGCGCGCAGCATCCCCACGGGCAGGCGCCACAAGGCGGGCGCGCCCTGGCAGTCCAGGATGACTGCAATGCGCCCACTGTCAGGGCATGAGAGGGTGAGCGCTGCTGTTACCGCACTCACTAGGGACGCTGAGAGAAGGAAGGGGGGAGGGTGTGATTGAGGGGGAAGGGATGGGAGGGAGGGAAGCAGAAGTTGGGGTATTGTGCTGATGGTGATGCGACTACTACCATACTGATGCGATGAAAGCGGCAGGGCTGGGGTTATGGGCTGGGAGAAGGCGAGAGAGGGAAGGGCGTGTTATCAAGGCAGGAGGGGCGAGAGGGAAGGGCGTGTTATCAAGGCAGGAGGGGCGAGAGGGAAGGGCGGCTCACCGAGATAGCAGACAAAGTCAGCATGCGAGGCAGACGGAATGGCCTTAGCCGCCCGCCCCACATGCAGAACAAGACAAGGCCTGCCGTCCACGTCCGCGCCGTGCCAGTAGCCGAAGGGGCGCCAGGGCGAGCAGAGCACCTCGGCGGGCGCGAGGAGGCGGAAGGAGCGGCGCCACGTGGCAGTGGCGCGGATGCGGTTCACCATTGTTGCCACGTGGCGCTTGCCTGGCACTGCATAGCGCAGCACTGTGTCGTCCGTCAGCCTGCCGGGGGAAGGGTGGGGCGGTGGGGAGGGAGGGCGCAGGGGAGGGGAGGATGCGGGAGAAAAGGGTCGAGATTGAGGGTAGGGAAGGGAGGAGCGCGGGGGAAGGTGCAGGAAGGGGTGGGGGGGCCGCAGGAAGAGGGGTAGGGAGGGTTGGTTGGTGGAGGGTGCATGGGGGAGGGGGAAAAGGCGACACAGCTTCAGCTATATTGAAATCACTTTTGAGAATTCTGAAAAGCTTCAGCAAACACGGCTTGGGCAGTGGGCACAGAGGTCAAGAGCACTGGGTGGCGGAGCTGTGAAGAAGAGCAGTAAGCACGGCACGCACACACTGGAAGGAAGCTTGAGAACATTTTCAGACACATCCCGAATCGCGACAAGCTTGACCGGACTGCTCTCTCACCAATCCTGCGTGTCCACGTCAGCATCTTCGAGCGCCGATCGCACGTCTTGAATCAAAACTTGGTCGGCAGGAGAGAGCTCGGGAGAGGGCGGAGAGGGGAGTGCGGGCAGGACAGCAGCACGGGGTGGAGGAGTGGAAGGGCGAGAGGAGGGAGGGGATGCTGATGATGCCGTGTCAGACGCAGCAGGTGAGCCATCGAGGGAATAGTCTGACACTGATGAAGCCCCTGCCGATGATTCAGCCCCTTCTGGCGATGCCGCTACTGCTGCTGCCGCCGCTGCTCGCGCTGATGTGCGTGCTGCTGCGCGTGCTGCTGAGAGGGAAGGGCGGGGCTCGACCGGGGGTGGGAGCATGTGCGGAGGATCCTTGGGGGACGCGCGGGAGGAGGGGCGAGCGGGGAGGAGGAAGGGCAGGAGGGCGGAGAGCGTGGAGACGAGGAGCGGCGCGGCGAACGTCTGTGAGGTGGCAGGACGCAGGGCGGGAGGGAGGGAGAGAGGATGGGAAGGGGATGAGAGTGAGAGGGAGCAGAAGATAAGCGAGCAGCAGTAACGCTGTTCAACACCTCCTGTATTCCTCGTTACGTTGCTTCATCCTACATGTTATCCCAACGTTCCACATGCAATCCCAAATCCCTTCCTCGTACCACACTTCTCCCTTTTTCCCACCCCATGACCTTGCAAGCAACCCAGGCTCATACACTTCGCAGCGCTTACCTCCATAATCATCCACGTTCCGCCACGTGTCACCGTCACAACACGATCAATTATCTCCAGCGGTCCCCCGATTCCCCTCAACACCGCTTCCGCCTCCTCTTCTCCCCCCGCTCCCCTTCCCGCCACCACCTCTCCCCCTACCGTTCCCCCTCCCCCTGCCCTTCCGCCACCCTTCCCCCCACTGAGTCGCGCCTCCAGGTGCACTATTGCCACTACGTGCAGCGCGGGCCAGAGTAGCGGCGGGCCTATAGCGCGTACAGGCTTCCTTAGCAACTTAATCGCAACTACTCGCACCGCGAACCACGTCGCGGCGTGCGACAAGCTCAAGGCCCCGCCGACGGATTGACTCAGGGCGACGCTCAAAGCGCCATCGCGGGCGACTGTGCGACGGACCGAGCGACCCAGCGTGCGACAGAGAGCCCCGAGCGGGGAGCGCACGAGCAACCCTGCGACGGCTGCGAGCCAGCCTCCCCGTCGCCTCGTTGGTCGCAGTTGATCACTCGCCGAAGCGGTCTCTCCTGTCGCACGGCCACTAGATGATGAACCGCTACGCGCGTCGCCCGTATCCCCCCTTGGTGAGGAAGGGACGGATGTCTCCGCATCGCCACTCGCTGCAATGCGGCTCGCCAGCTCAGCAACCTCGTCGACCCGTCGGGCCTCGGGAGTGTCGAACGAGGCGCTGCGGGATTCGCCGCTGTGAGCGGTGTTGAGCGTGTCGGCCTGCGAGGAATCCGTCGCCAACTGCGGCGGATCTGGTGGGCTGCGATGCTCGAGAGACATGTGGTGCTACTGAGGTAAGGGTAAAGGTAAGGGTAAGCGGAAGAGCAGAGCGGGTAATAGAAATGGTCGTTCGGAAGTGAGTGATGAGGCATGAATGGTGGTGCATTGGTGAAAGCAGGAGGGGAAGCCAAGTCCTGGTTCTGAGACGGAATTCAGCGGTCGGACAGCTGCAATCGAAACGTGTGGTGGAGAGTGATGGTGCGACGAGAACGAAGGGGATTTGTGGTCGCTGCTGTGCTGTGCTAGGTTGGATTCCTCATCCGCGTTACTACAATCACTGACAAATTCTTGAAGTTGCGATATTGTGCACTTTTCTTATTCAGTTATGGCTACTCTTTCCAACACCATCATTTCTCTTCCTGCAAACCCAGGTATTCTCTCCCTCCCTCCATCCGAACTTTCCGGTAGGCCGAGCTGATTTTATCGCCAAATCGCAGCGAGTGCGGAAAGGTGAGACGCGCGAGTGCGCAGTTGCCGCAGTAGGCGCCAGGGCGCAAGGATGGAGGAGTGCGCGCAGTGCGGGGAGCGCGCCGTGGATTACGATGACCAGGCGTTAGCACTAGTGTGCGCGCGATGCGGCCACGTGTCGGACGAGTCGCAGCTTACGTCGCGCGTAGAGTTCGACGAACTTGGCCGGGCGGGCGGCGTGCGCGTTGGCGGCGGGGGAGGCGCGGGGGATGGCGGAGAGCCCCGCTCGTGGATGTGGACGGCGGGGGCGGGCGGGGGGCGATTTGGCGGAGGGTGGGGGGATGGGGCGGCGGAGACGAAGTGGGGAGGCGGAGGAAAGTCAGCGGAGTTTAAGAGGCGGAAGAATAAGGTGCTTTTACTATGACGTGCAGGTGGATCCGAGAATTCTCAGAATTAACCTATTACTTTGAATAGTACCCTGGTTCTTAGTAGCTGCGTGCGGTCCGCGGATTCGACGCTCTCACAACTGCCTGTCATGGTCTCGCTAGATGCGACGTGAAAGAAGAGTGTTTTTGAGACGTCTCAAAAATCGCCAGATGCGGCTACTGCCTCCTCATTCTCGCCGCGCCCTCACTCACCTCAAATCCCCTGCGCTTCCCGCTCCCCCTTGCGCTTCTCCCTCCCCCTTGCGCTTCCCCTCCCCCTTGCGCCCCCCCCCTTCCCCCTTGCGCTTCCCCTTCCCCCTTGCGCTTCCCCCCCTTGCGCTTCCCCCCTTGCGCTTTCCCCCCCCCCCTTCCCCCCCTTGCGCTTCCGCCTCGCCTCCGCCAGCGCGAGTGGGAGGAGCGGGTGGGCGCGGTGGTGGCGGGGCTGCGCGTGCCGGAGGGCGTGCGGGGGGACGCGGTGGGGGTGGCGGAGCGCGTGCTGGAGGGGAGGTGGGGCTCGGGGCAGTGGATGGGGGTGCTCATGGCGGCTGCGGTGTACATCGCTGTGCGCAACAGACGCCTGCCCGTGTCCATGGGGGAAGTGGCGGTGAGTGCCGAGGGGGATGTGGGCATGGGGGAGGTCGCGGTGAGTTGTCCTTTTGTTGTCCTCTTGTCATCTTTCATGCTTCTCTTCCCTCCCTTCCCCTCCTCCCCTCCCCTTCCCTGCCCTCCCCACCACAGCACGCCACGGAGTGCGAGCTGGCAGCGGTGTGGGCCATGTTCAAGCGCATCATGGCTTACTTCCCCATGCTGCAGGTACCTCCTAGTATTCCTGTGCCGTTCTTTGTTCGCCTGCGTCTGTTTGATGGTGTCTACGACAATCCTTTGACGCGTTATTCCGGTCCGCAGGCGAACAAAGAACGGCATTGTCTGCAGGTGCGCCCTGTTTCTCTGCCGTTCTTTGTTCACCTGTGACTCCTAGGTTCCATTTTGTGATGACACCCTGTCTTCAGCAATTGTCCCTTGCCATGTCACCCCCACGCCATGCCACCCCATGCCATGCCATGCCATGCCATGCCACGCCATGCCCTGCCATGCCACAATGCATGTGCAGCCGGAGCAGGTGGATCCGGTCAGCCATGTGTGGAGGGCGGTGCATGCCATGCCTGCACTCAGGGTATGTACGTGTATCCAGCACTGAATGTATGTGCATGCATGTGGTATTGCCATGCAGCAATGCCACGTGCACTGCACCCTCATTTCTTCTCCGTTCACCCTCAAAAAAGTTCGAGATCCTAGTTCCAACCAATCATACACCCTTCTGCTTTATTCTTCTTCTCATGGCATGGCACGGCATGGCATGGCAACATTCGCATGGCAAGCACAGGACTGGCAGGGCGAGGGTGGAAGGCAGGCGATAGTGGGGGACGCCATGAGGCTGCTCACCTTCGCTCACTCCCTCTCCCTGCACACCGGCCGCCATGCCGCCCCGGTCGGTACCTCCCCTCTCCCATGCCACCCCAGCACCCCCCCTCACCTCCCACTTATCCTGCCTTTCCCGCCTCACACATCACTACCCATCCCCTTCAGCCCTGTGGGTTTCCCCTTCAGCCCTGTGGGTTTCCCCTTCAGCCCTGTGGGTTTCCCCTTCAGCCCTGTGGGTTTCCCCTTCAGCCCTGTGGGTTTCCCCTTCAGCCCTGTGGGTTTCCCCTTCAGCCCTGTGGGTTTCCCCTTCAGCCCTGTGGGTTTCCCCTTCAGCCCTGTGGGTTTCCCCTTCAGCCCTGTGGGTTTCCCCTTCAGCCCTGTGGGTTTCGCATCCTCCATCCACCCCGCAACTGCCATTCGTCCAGCCGCGCGTACGCTTTCACTTCAACTTCTTGCCCATTTCAACCCACGCCTCCCTCTCATCTTCCTTTTCCCCCTAAACCCCTCCTTCCTCCCACCCTCCGCCTCCCACCTCTCAGATAGCAGCGGCGGCGCTGCTGCTGGTGGCGGGGGCGAGGGGGGTGGTACTGGGAGAAGCGGAGCTGTGCGCAGCCATGGCAGTCCCACCAGCCACAGTGAGGCAGCGCTTCTCAGAGCTCACGCGCGCCCTCACGCGCCTTGCACGCTCGCTGCTGCTCCCTGGCGCCAACCACGTGTCCTCCCAGGCGGCCTTCCACCGCCTCCTGCCCTCCATCCTTGCGGTGCGTTTTTTCTGAGACTCTGGGCCAGCCTGTTTTGGAGGTGCCTCACAAGGCGCCTAAAGTAATGTTGCAGTTATGAGCTGCCTTAGAACTCGCCTCACGGGCGCCAACCATGTGTCCTCCCACCCAGGTGGCCTTCCACCGCCTCTTGCCCTCCATCCTCTCCGTGCGTGTGCTGCGGAACTCTGCGCTAGCCGTTTCCTTTTGAGTTGGCTTTTGGTGCCTTGGACTCCAGAGGCGGGCCAAGGAGCCGTTGTGAGTGGGTGGGTGGTGGGGCGTATTGATGCGCCGTGAGAGATCCCTCCTCAAAGGCCTCAGAGTCACGCATCGCCTCTGCTCCCTCGTCAAGCATGTGTTTTGTTGGTCCACGCTTAGCCGCACAGATTCTCCTTGCTCCATTCCTAATCACACCTCGCCCCCCCTCCCAGCTGCTGCCGTCGCCGTCTCGAGTGGGCCATCGCTTTGTGATGCCATCTGCTGACGTGGACAGGCATGCTGATGTGGCGGATCAAGCTGGTGATGTGGCAGATCAAGCTGCTGATGTGGCGGATCAAGCTGCTGATGTGGCGGATCAAACTGCTGATGTGGCGGATCAAGCTGCTGATGTGGCTACCCCGAGTGGTGGATCTCCAAGAGGTGAAAGAGGAGGGGCAGAGCAGGCAAGGAAGGCAGGTGGTGTAAAAAGCGGAGGCGGGACGGGGGAAGGCGAGGGTCCAGGCGGAGAGCAAGGAGAGGAACGAGGAGACAGAGGGGGAGATGGAGGAGAGGAGGGTGCATTGGAGGGGGGCGAGGGGCGGTGCTCCAATGAGCTGCTGCCACCTGCATTTGAAGACAGCGTGCTGGCTCATCAACGGTGCGTGCCCTCTCCTGCCCAGTCGTCTCGTCTCCTGCTATCCCCCTCCTGTTCCAGCCCCAGCCACACCCTCTTCACCTCATAACCCGCCCATACCCCTCACTGCTCCCTATTCTCATCCTCCTGCCGTCACCTCGCCCCCTCGCTCCACAACTTACTCACATCTTGCTCCCATCTTGCTCCCATCTTGCTCCCATCTTGCTCCCATCTTGCTCCCATCTTGCTCCCATCTTTCTCCCATCTTGCTCCCATCTTGCTCCCATCTTGCTCCCATCTTGCTCCCATCTTGCTCCCATCTTGCTCCCATCTTGCTCCCATCTTGCTCCCATCTTGCTCCCATGTTGCTCCAAGGCTGCCTCGTCTCTCTGTCCCACCCCACCACCCAGGCGCACTGGGCTGCTCAACCACGCCCGCCACCGCCTGCAGCACACCAAGCGCGACCGCTGGGGGCGTGCTGGGAGGGGAGGGGCAGGGGAAGGGTTGGCGGAGGGAGGAGCAGGGGAGGGCAGCAAGGTTGGGGGCGAAGGGGACGAGGGCGAGGAGGAGGGTAGAGGGGTGGAGAGGGGTTGTGATGGGTCGAGAATGGAGGTGCTGTGGCGGTGGGAGGGGGTGTGTGTGGATGATAAGGGGGGTGAGGGGGGAGGGAAGAGGGTGAAGAGAAGCATAAGGTGCTTCGACGAGGGAGGTGGTGTGGGGGGAAAGAGGCCGGAAGGGCGAGGGAGTGGCAACGAGGAGGCTGTTGTGGACTGGCTGCTGCTGCAACAGGTGAGAAGCATGAGGTGCTTTGACGAGGGTGGTGATGAGGGGACACAGAGGCAGCACGGGCGAGGGAGTGGCAACGAGGAGGCTGTTGTGGACTGGCTGCTGCTGCAGCAGGTGGAGTGGTGGTCGACTTTTTCTCGCAATTCCGTTGAAATTGCTGCTGTTCTTTCTCCAGGCCTGGTTTTCTGCTTTTCCTGATGGAAACAAAGTTTCTTCTTGTTGTGGTGTGGATGGTGCTGATGGTGCTGATGGTGCTGATGGTGGCATGTGGTGTGTAGGCGGACCCAGGGGCAACAGCATCAGGATGGTACCGCTCTGCTGCTTCCACCGTCATGGATCGCCATATCACTGTATCCAGCAAACCGACTTAGGTGGAAAGTCTGTCACGATGTGAGAGGATGGTCTAAGAAATGGTTATAGTTTATGGATCCGCTCCACACGTGCCAAAAGAGCAATGAGGTGAATCACACCGGAGCATGGAAGTGAGTGCAGCAGGCGAGCGACTGTCCTCGAGTCCTGCCCCGCTGGGACATTCAGCAGCCACAGCCCATGATCTAGAGTCCTAGAGTCCTGCCCCACTGTGGGACAGCAGGGGTTTGGTTTGGAGCGACGGAGAGGTGCGGCTGGAAAGCATGGCACTTGTACATGGTTCGTGACGTGGCATGGTCATCATGGCCTATGGCTGCTGAATGGTGTGCTTGTACGGTATGGTGGTGCAGCTGATGCAGATGCAGTGGTGCTGACCTGACACTGGCCTGTGAGTGCACTTCTGAACGTACCGGCAAGCGCAGATGAGATGAGTTTCCGATCACATGGGAGTGGGGTAACAAGAGTGCAACTGCGGCCCAACCAACCACCACTGCACCCTCTCTTTTCTCTCCTCTGCTCGGTTTCCTCCTACCATGCACCTTGATGGGCCCATTGTACCAGTAAGTGTGCTAAGCACTCTGTGGGTCTGGTGGCGCATTTCCCAAAACTAGGCACTCAGGCTGATAATACAAGGATTACTGAACCGTACATGCAGCGTGCTGACGCTCAGGAAATGGGCACCTACACGCTGGAAAACATTATAGAACTCACTGCAAAACCACGTTATATCGGCCGGTTATGGCCTGGATACAAACCTACAGCACTAGCCCTAGGGTGGCTAACGCGCCTTCTTGTGGCTGACACCTAGTCTAGTGCTTATATGCACGTACACCACTCCGCCCGAGCACTGCTCTCCGCTTCATCCCTGCTCTCCCTTCGCGCGGAGCAATACCCCGCGGAAAAAACATCTCGATGCGGACCCTGGCGTGCCCCTTCCACGTGTGTGTGCTGCTCTTCCCTCAAGCACGGCTCCCTTTATGCGCTGCTCTCCCTTCACGCCCTGCTCTGCCCTCACCTGTGCTCTCCCCTCAAGCAATGCTCACCCCTCAAGCAGTGCTCACCCCTCAAGCAGTGCTCTTCCCCCGGAAGAACGATTTGATACGGTCCTTGCTGCGCTTCTCCCCAAGCGTGCTGCTCTCCCATTGAGCACAGCTCGCCTCAAGCGCTGCCCTCCCCTCAAGTGCTGCCCTCCCCTCAAGCAGTGCTCTCCCCTCAAGTGCTGCCCTCCCCTCAAGCAGTGCTCTCCCCATGGAACAACGACTTGACACGGTCCTTGCTGCGCTTCTCCCCCTGCATGCTGCTCTCCCTTGAAGGCAGCTCCTCTCAAGCGCTGCTCTCCCCTTGTACACTCCACTGCACCCCCCTCAAGCGCTGCTCTCCCCTCAAGCGCTGCTCTCCCCTTGTACACTCCACTGCACCCCCCTCAAGCGGTGCTCTTCCCCCGGAAGAACGACTTGATGCGGTCTTTGGTGCGCTTCTCCCCTGACGCGCGCCGCTCCTCGCTGTCGTTGGACGAGCGGCTGCTGGGGGAAACGGCGGTCACGGGGGACGAGGCCATGCTGCCCATCACAGGAGATGACGCCATGCTGCTGCTGCTGCTCGTGCCGTAGCTGCGCCCCTGCTGCCCCACCTCCCTCATCTCTACCCCTCCCTCCCGCTGTTCTGCCTCGCTCCGCGCATGCCCATGTGCATGCGCATGTTCTTGCGTATATGCATGTGCATGGGCATGCGCATGGGCATGTGTGTGCTGCGATCCGGCCGGTCCCTTCCCCATCTGTGCTTCATTGTGCGAAAAGTGCTTCTGCAGTGGCCGCCCGCTCGCATCCTTCATTGCTGAGTCAGACATCTGTCGGTCCATACCTACCCCTGCCATGTCAGCGGCTGGCACGGAACAACTGGCTCGTTCCGTAGGCCCGGCCGGACCAGGTTCCCCACAGAGAAACTGCAGCACGACGCTGGTGTAGTCGTCTGGTAACTCGTCCACCACATCCCGCCCCGCCGCCCCCATATCCACATAATCCCCGTTCTTGCACAGCAGGGCGGCTTTTCTCGTCGCCTTGTGCAGCGGCTCACTCTCCCCAGCCATGCAGAGCACGGGCGTGTGAACCCGCTTCAGCAGCTCGGCATGATCCACCACAGCCATAGCTCTTGACAGCCATGGCCGCCGCTCATACGTCTGCAGCATGTCGATCAGCGTCCGCACCTTCAGCTGCCACGGCACGCCTCCGTCGGGGAAGCGGCGCTCGAGAAACGTGGTGACAGCGGCGGGGAGGTCTGCGTCGTAGTGGGTGTCGGGGGTTTCCTCGCGGAGGGCGTCGCCGCGCTCCATGAAGCCGAGCATGGGCACGCCCCACAGCACCAGGCGCCGCACGATGTGTGGCAGCTCTGCCGCTATGTGGATCGCCACTGTCGCGCCCGCCTCGTGCCCCACCTGTGATCAAGCAGAGGGTGGGGAGGGTTGGGAGGGTGGGGAGGGTGAGCACGGGCACGCCCCACAGCACCAGGCGGCACACCACAATGTGAGGTAGCTCCGCTGCTATGTGGATGGCCACTGTTGCGCCCGCCTCGTGCCCCACCTGTGGGCGAGAGGAGGGTGGGGAGGGTGGGGGGGGCGGGGAGAGAGAGGAGGGTGAGGAGGGTAGGGAGGTGAGCATGGGCACGCCCCATGTGTGGGAGCTCCGCTGCTAGCTATGTGTATCGCCACCGTGCCACCCGCCTCGTGCCCCACCTGTGGAGGAGCGGAGGGTGAGGAGGGTGAGGAGGGTGAGGAGATAGAGGAGTTGAAGGGAGGAGTGTGTGGAGCGTGGAGCTTAGGCATGTCTTGCAAGTGTCGTTGCCCGTGGTGGTCTCACATCCTCTCATCCATTCCAGATCCATCCGTTTTACTCACTTCTCCTCCGTTCCTTTATCCGTCCACTCATCCAAGCATGTCAGATCCGTTCAAGCATGCATGCAGCCACCCTTCCTCTCTACCACACATGCATGTCAGATCCGTCGAAGCATGCATGCAGCCACCCTTCCATTCTACCACCAATGCTTGTCAGATCTGTTCAAGCATGCACCCAGCCACCTTCCACTCTACCACCCATGCATGTCAGATCTGTTCAAGCATGCATGCGGCCACGCTTCCACTCCACCACCCATGCATGCATGGCCCATCCATCCATTGCAGGTGTATTGCAGCTCACAATGCATGCACTGCACACCAGGTGGCTCTGTCCTGGATCTGTCATCCATGCCATTTCATCAACAAAGTATGCAAAAAGAGGTGGGACACGAGGGATCACATGGTCCCTCACCAGCTCTCCAAAGGAGCAATTGGGACTTTGGTAACTTTGTAACTCAGATGCTCAGGGGGGCAGATCCAGGTCATCACCATGTCATCAACACTCACAATGTCAAATGGCGGCGAGAATCGAAGCGCATGAGCGGCTTGCAGCACAAGGTTCGCCACGTCAACCATGGTCAGCTCGCCACTGGGGAGCTGGGTAGCTTGCGTGGGATCAGCACATGCTGACGCAGCACGACACGACTCGCCGCTGTTGGGCAGATCCAGAGCCACGGCGTGCAGGCCGGCCGCCGCCATTCTCTTTAGCGCGGATGTGAACATGGCGGACGACTGGGCGGCAGAGTGCAGCAGCAGGATGGACGGCGGGCCGTGGCCGCATCTGCTCATCATAATCATGCAAGAGGGAACAGTGATGTTAAGCAGTGCTGGATTTGGAAAGCATTGAGTATTCACTTCTAATCCTGGATATACTTTCTCAGACTTTCGGTGCAGTGAAAGGTTTCACGGACACCGAACACTTGTTCTGGACTCGTGAAATCATCATTTATTCGTCATTTTTTATTTAGGGGTTGTTTCATGCGTCCATTGGAGGAAGGATTCTTAAGCTGATCATCGTGATCAGCAGAACCGTCACTGCGCGTCAATTACCTGCGGTAGTGGATTTGCCCGGCCTCTGTGTCCACGTATCCCTTCTTCACATCGCTCGTACTCCCCATCGTGAAACGGCTGAATTAGAAGCGAGACCACTTCAAAGCTGTGAACAAAACACGCTTCCGAAAGTTGTCGAGAAGAACAACCGAAATTTCACGTAACAACAATAATTTTCCTCGTCCTTCTCTCTCGAAGAAGTAAAACGCTGTTATATTTTCTGCCGTATGTGTGCGTGGAGGGACTCCTTGCTGTGTTTCTTAGGACATGGCACCCAGCCAGCCCTTGAGTGGTTCTCCTCTGCGGAGCAGCACGGCCACCAAACCATATTTCCCCAGCGGGAGCCAGTGGTTGGTCTCAGGAGGACTCAGGAGACAGGCGGGGAGAAGAGTCGTGGGTTGGTTTGGGGCTGTCTTTTTGTGCCAGGGGCCGTTTCCTTTCCCTCCCGTCCCGCCCAGTCAGCGCGAGCCAACAGAGCAAGGCGAAAAAACATCAACGACCCCGCCAAAGCCCCAGTTGTTGGCGCTGGAGGAAAGTCCCGTTTGCCCCGAAAAGCCACCGCCACCTCACACCGCCTTTTATTCGCCCAAAAATGCGATTCTACCAAACCATCATTGTTCAAACCGTGAGTGACGCTTCTGGAATCTCCTTGAGTATTCAGAAAATGGGGTTCGATGCCCCCAGAGAAAAAAAAACTCTGGTTGTTTCAAACAAACAGTAGGCGTTGCGTGAGTGCCCTTCCAACCAGAAACTGGTACAGTACAGTGCAGTACGGTACAAGAGAGACAAAGCTAGCCCAAGCACGACTTCGGCCTCGTTTCATAGAAATATGCAGACCTTTTTAATGCGGGCCATTCAAATGTTTGTCGACGTACAATCGGCTCTGACCCCACGCTCGGCTCCGTATAACGCCACGTAAACTCGAATAAAATTATGGCAAGCAAGAGGAACGTTACGGGGCATGTGGGGAGCAAAATTGGAAGAATGCTGCCGTATTATTATTTTTTGGATTCTTGTTGCACCTTGCGACAAGAACTATCATAGCCGACGCGGAAAAGTTAGCGGAAAGCATGGAAAGGTATCATTCCCGTCGCCAGGTGTCAAATGCAGTGTCCAATGAAAGTGACCGTGGCCCATGATGCCCGTGAGATAGGGAAACCCACTTATTCGTACGACGATGAGCTGAAATACACCCGTAGGCTATGATAACAAGCGAGGCTGCATTGTACCAATCCCCAGCATATCGGGCTGTTACCCTATACAAACTGTCGTTTACAATCATTACCTGCTCGTCTCAATCACCTTCCCCTGATTCCTAGAATTTGTTTTTGTGATTGTAAGATCACCCACATATGTGCTTGGAGTTAATTTGGTGAAAAGCTACCAATGATACTAATCAATTTAGTGTCCTTGTTTTTAAGGGCTGTACTATCATAATCACAATCAAATATAATTAAGAATAAGATCAATATATTATGGTTTATTACCATTAGGCCGTATTGCTCAATCATTCGAGTTTCATAAGGAGTGCTGTCTATGGTGGGCTTCACTTTTAGTCCAACTTCTATACAGCAATGGGTCAGCTTCAAGTTGGCTGAAGTTGGGTCACTCACTACAACACAGATGAGGGTCAGCGGATTCCTCGATAGTGCAATCCTCGTTTGTTCCCACCCTCGCATTCGTAACACACCCATGGCTCTTGAGTTCCTCTCTCTAAAGAATCACTGCGTGTAATGTGCATCTGTGGTCTCCCGACTTCAGTACCCCTTTGAATCTCGATTTCTGCTCATCTGGTGTCGTAGATTCATTTTGGACATGTGCCATCGTTGGGCTCTGACGCTTTTGCTATAATTGGGCTTTCTACAATACCTATTTGGCCGAAGCGACCAAGTAGGAAAAATATCCGCAAGAACGGCGAATCTCATTTCGTGAAATTTGCTGCGTGGAGACTCATTGGCTGCCATGAATCCAGAGAATAACCAGTTTGGGAGGGAAACAGATAACCTAAATACCGATTATGGCGACGGGTGGAGCACGGACGAGGACGAGCCGTCCGTGTTCCGCCCGAACGCCATCGCGTTCCCCACCCACACAGCTGACAATCGCGGCGCGCAGAGGCATCGCATCGCGGTTAGCCATCTTACATTCGTTGCTGCTCCTGAGAGCTACGGCGACAGGCAGGTGCGTAACGGACACCGCACGCACTCCGGTTCAGTGCGGTGCACTACCGCCCGCTTCTTCTGCTGGGAGAATCCAACCCGAATCTTTCACATCGCCGCAACCAATCATGGTGTCTGCGCCGACCACGGCGTCAGTTCCAGTTACGGCGTGAGCAACTCTCACGGCGGCATGGCCGGCATCAAGAGATGGCCCTCCCGGCAGCACCGCAGCCTCAGCTGGAGTGTGGTGTGCGAGGACTCTTGCCTCCCTTGCGCGTCCAACCACTAAAAAAAACTAACGGATTACAAAGCGCTCGGAGCGTTGGGAAGTAGTTAAACATATAAACGAAGGAGAATGAGAGATGGCATGGAGTTGAGATATATTTACATGCTCTCTCTGAGGGGAGGGAGATGTGGGATGGGTGGTACGTGACATGGGTGGTATGTGGCATGGGGTGGTATGTGGCATGGGTTGGTATATGACATGGGTGTGTGGCATGGGGTGTGTGGCATGGATCGTGTGGCATGGGGTGTGTGGCATGGGGTGTGTGACATGGGTGTGTGTGGGATGGGGTGTGTGGGATGGGGTGTGTGGGATGGGGTGTGTGGGATGGGGTGTGTGGCATGGGGTGTGTGGGATGGTGTGTGTGGCAATGGGGTGTGGTGTGTGGCATGGGGTGTGTGGCATGGGGTGTGTGGGATGGGGTGTGTGGGATGGGGTGTGTGGGATGGTGTTACATGGGATGGGGTAGAATGTGACGTTGGAGATTTATGGCATGAATGGTATGTGAGATGCGGTGGGGTGTGATATGGGTGGTATGTGACATGGGGTGGGGTGTGATATGGGTGGTATGGTATGTGACATGGGGTGGGGTGTGATATGGGTGGTATGGTATGTGCCATGGGGTGGGGTGTGATATGGGTGGTGTGTGCCATGGGGTGGTGTGTGACATGGCATGGTGCGTCTCCCACATATTGTTAAAGAAGAAAGCAATCCCGACGTTGACGTAAAAGCGATAGGAAGGTCGCAACTGGTGGAAGGAACAAGGTTCAAAAATACGGTTTTCGTAAAAAACGGTCCGTTTTTTACGGTAATTTTCCAAAAAAACGGCGTTTTTTTTACCTTGGGAAGGAACGACTGAACTCGCCAAGCATTCCCAATCCAGAGAAGCGCTAAGTGTAAAGTGCCGACTGCCAAGGTGGTTATTGGACCGGGAAAAGAGTCGGACTGCCGACTGGCTGACACTCCTTCCAACTCCCCAACTCCACCTCCCTTCCCTCCCTCTCTGCCTGCAGGCCGTCCTCACTGCTTGTCTGCTCCCTCACTCTCTCGCCACCTCAACACCCCTCCCATGGCAATTATCGCACACACCCCACGTTCCCTCCCTGCCTGCTCCTCCTGCTCCTCCTGCTCCTCCTCCTTTTCCTCCTGCTGCTGCTGCCGTGGCACCCTCCCCTTCGCCCTCTGCCACACGCCATCCATCCGTGGCCCCCATCAACCATGTACCCGCCCCACCACCCACCCTCGTTGCCGCACCTGCACCCACACCCGCTTCCCTCCCTATCCCCGCCCGCGTCCCCACCCCTCCTCTGATCTCCGTGCAAGCCCCCCACCTTCCCCAGCTAGCCCATGCACCACCACATGCCATCCCATGCCGCCCCATGCTGCCATCACCGCATGGAGCAACCCTCAAGGAACCGCACTTGGCAGCAGCGCAACAGCACCCCCCCCATAGCACCATCCACCCTCCCTCCGCCTCTGCTCCTGCTCCTGCTGCTGCTGCTGTCCCGATGGCCCCTCCGCCCCCCCCACCTGTCCGCGCGTCACCCTTGCCTCAGCCTGCCCTGCCTGCTGCCTCTGCACTCCCACATGCTCGCTCACGGCAGCAGCCAGACGCAGAGGCGCACATGCACTCCCTGCCACCCTCCGCCCTCCCTCCCACCCATGCACGCTCGGCCACTGCTGCTTCTGCTGCCTCTGCTGCCGCCGCCGCTTCTGCAGTCGCTGGCCTCATGCACACATACACACCTGGGCGCAAGACGTTCCCCCCATCGCTCTTCCTCCCCCGCACCGACCCTCTCGATGCCTCCTCTCTCCCCTCCCCCACTCCGCCCTCCCCCCTTAAACGCGCCTCTTCCCCCCCGCAACAACCCCTATCCCTCCTGGCTGGGGACGAACCCGCTCTCAGCAGCCCCTTGCAGGCCCCCCCTCTTAAAGCCCACTCCGCTGCTCCCCACCTGCAATTCCCCCCAGGCTTCCCTTCCCCTGGGAAGCACTCATCCCTCGCCCCCAAGCCATCCCCCGTACCCTTGCTGCCACCACCACCCCTTGCACGCCCCCTCACAGTCACATCTACTACGCCTTTCCCTTCGCCTTTCCCCCCACCCATTGCCCCTGCTCTGCCTTTCCTTGCCGCGCGGCTGCCCCTCCCTTTTGGCCCTTTCCTCCGCCCGCCCATCCCCGTCGCTGCCCTCTCTCTCCCCATCGGTATCTCCTCGCGTCTCCCCCTTGCCTCTCTTTCTTCGCCCGCTGCTGCCGCCGCTGCCGTTGCTGCTGCTGCTGCCAATCCTGCCCCTGCTGCTTCTGGTAGTAACGTGGGGGTTGCTGCTGTTGCTGGTGGTGCTGGTGGTGTTGGTGTGGGGATGGGGAGAGGGAAAGAGGAAGAGAGGGATGAACAGAGTCTGGTGAAACTGAGAAAGGAAGGCGAAGGGGATGAATCAGCTAGAGCAAATGATCCGAAAGGGGAGGAGCACAGGGCATCGGTGGATGGGGAGAAAGCAGGGGGGCGAGATGAGGTAAAGGGCGAGGAAAGGGAGGGGTCGGCACCAATGAGTGCTGCTGATAGGAGCAAGGCAGAGGTAGTTGCTGATGGTGATATGAAGTCAAGGGTGGGCAGGCAGGGGGAGTCGGAGACACCACGTGGTGCTTGTGTGGAGGACAGGGGTGTGATAGGCGGGGTGAGTGGAGGAGAAGGGCCGGGCAAGGAAGAAGAGTGCAATGGCCATGGCGCAGCAGCTGCTGCAAGTGAACCAAAGCCTCTCCACCCATCAGAACCTTTCTCAGAGTCTTTCCGTGATGAAGAGGTGGACACCATGCTTGCCACGAGCTCTCACCCTGCTGCTGTGAGTGCAGCCAGCACTCTTTCTCCCCCGGCTTCTCTGGGGGAGGAGTTGGAGCGTATGAAGGCAGAGGGTGCAGGTGGCATGGCAGGTGGTGTGGGTGACATGGCAGATTCTGCACGTGGGGCAGCAGGGGGGATTGAGGGGTGTGCGGACGAGCCTGGTGATGCTCCCCTGCGGCGACTGGACCTGGACCCCAGGCGGAGAGAGGGGGGCGCTGAGGGGGACGTGGACGTTGGTGCTGGTGGGGAGGACATGGGCGTTGCTGTTGTTGCGGGTGGAAGGGGAGGGGTGGGATGGGGAGAGGAGGCAGAGGAGCTGGCAGGAGAGGAGGGAGGACGGGCGAGCGAGCAGAAGCAGGAGGAAGAGCAGGAGGGGGAGAAGGAGGAGGAGGAGGAGGAGCAGCAAGAGCAGCAGTTGGAGCAGCAAGTGGGGGAGAAGGTGGGGGAGGAGCAGCAGCAAGAGCAGAAACGGGAAGGTGAGGCGAGAGGGGAGGGCACAGCGCCAGCGGAGGAGGGAGCAGACGCCCCGCTGTCAGCACCTGCGTCTGCTGCTCTTGCTGCAGCCCTGCTTGCGCCCACTGCCCCCCACCACGCCCCTGTGCGCACTGGGCGCATCTACACTCGCCGCCGCGCCCGCTCTGGCGCTCGCAGCACCTGGGGGCGCGGGGGGGCTGATGGCCCTGGTGTAGGGGGGGAAGCGGGGGCTGGTGGGGAAGGGCAGGACGGGGGAGATGTGGGCGAGGGGTGCAAGGATGGGGAGGAGGAAGCTGGGCAAGGGGAGGGGGAGGATGGGCGGGGGGAGGGGGAAGATGGGCAGGGGGAAGGGGAGGAAGGGCTCAGCAGCAGCGGTGGGGATGGTGAGGAGGGCATGGGGCAAGGGGCAAGCGGTGAAGGGGGAAAGGGGCCAGGAGGGGGAGGAAAGGGAGGAAGGGGGGGAAAGGGAGGCGCAGTGAAGCTTGACGCGGTGAGAGAGAGGCTGGTGGGGCGGGTGGCCAAGGGCAGGAGGCGAGGCAAGGGGGGAGGGGCAGCGGGGGCAGCGGGGGCGCTGGGGCAGCAGCTGGCAGTGCGGGCGGCGATAGCAGAGCGGGCGGCAGGCAGGCGGAGTAGCCTGGCGTTTGGTGCAGAAGTGAGTGTGGAGGGCACGGGCGTGGGTGGGGGGAGAAGCAGAACCCTGGCGGAGCTGGTCGTGGGAAGGGGAAGGGGGGGCGCGCGGGGGAAAGGTAGGGGGGGGAAGAAGGGGGACGGACGGGGGAGGGGGAAAGGAGATGGGGATGGGGATGGGGATGGGGAGGGGGAGGTGCGGGTGCTGTGGCTGGCGGACTCCAGTGTGGCTCCCCGCCCCATAGGGGAGGGGGAGGGGGAAGAAGAGGGGGAAGAGGGGGGAGAAAGGGAGGATGAGGAAGGGGCAGAAAGGGCGAAAGGGATGGAGGGCAGTGGGAGGAAGAGGAAGCGTGTTGGCAACGGGGAGGAGGCGGGGGGAGAGAGTGGAGAGGAGGAAAAGGAAATGGGGGATGAAGGGGGGGCGGGTGACGGGGAGACGAAGGCTGGAGGGCAGCAGGGGGACGAGGGGGGCGATGGGGACAGGGAAGGAAGTGTGGCAGGCGGGGAGAATGCGGGGGAGAAAGCAGTGGCGGGAGCAGAGGAGCGAGGGAGTGCGAGCGTAATTGCAAGTGAGTGGAGGGGGGGCAAGCGGCGGCGGTGGCAGCCGGTGGTGTCACGGGGGGGAGATGGCGTGGTGGAGGTGCGCTTCCGACACCTGCTGCCCGCCACCTCCGCTCTCGCACCTGCTCCTGTCTCTGCCCCACCCCCTCCCGCTGCTGCGACTTCTGCTGATGGCCCACCTGCCACGAGTGTTGATGGTGATTCTGCTGATTCTGCTGCTGCTGTTGCTGGTGCTGCTACTGCGCCCGCTGGTGGTGTTAATGCTGGCGCCAGTGCTTGCTATGATGCTGATACAAATGCGGCTGGCGCTAATGCTGCTAACACTGATGAAGCTGCTACCAATGTTGCTAGTTGTGGTGGTGCTGATTTTGATGCTGCTGCTACTGGCGACGTTAGTAGAGATGATGCTACTATTGATGCTACTAAGAGTAAGTGCGTTACTTACCCATATACTGATGATGGTGCTGCCGGTGCCCCTGCTGCCCCTCCAGCACTGTGTGACACACTGCTTCCCGGGGAAGAAGAAGGTGACGTGGCAAAGGAGCAGGGCGAGGAGGGAGAGGAGAAGGGGGAGCAAGGGGGAGAGGATCAGGGGGAGGGTCGGGAAGGGGGAGGGGAGGACGGTGCAGGCAGTGAGGGAAAGAGAGGAGGGCGTGAGGGCGAGGGTGAGAAGAGTGAGGGTGAGGTGGAAGAAGAGGGGGAGGAGAGAAGGGAGGAGAGAAGGGAGGAGAGGGAGGGAGAAAGAGATGTGGGAATGAAGGGGGGGACAGACAGGGAGGTGCCACAAAGTACAGCTGCGTCTGCACCTGCCCTCACTGCTGCAGCTGAAGCTGCAACCTCTGCTGCTGCTGCCTCTGCTGCCACAGCAGCAGCAGCACATGCGCTTTTGCCTCATGGCAACATGCCTGCTTCGCATGTATCAGCACCACACGAGCCAGCAGCAGCAGCAGCACCGAGGGAAGGTCCAGCATCAAATGAAGCAGCAGCAGCACCATTCCCTGAGGCAGCACCAATGGCAGAAGACACAGCAGCAGCCACGGCAGCAGCGGCCTCCTGTCATCCACAGGACGTTGCCTGTGCCGCTCCCTCTCCTGCATCTGCCCTCCCTGCTGCCACTCCTGCGGTTCCTGCCCCCGGTGGGGCCGCCCCTGCCAGCGACACGCCTGCTGCTGCCCTGGTAACCGCAGTGATTCGGGGAGGTGGGAGTGGGGACGGTGTGAGTGGGGGAGGTGGGGGTAAGGACGGTGTTAGTGGGGGAGGTGGGAGTGGGGACGGTGTGAGTAGGGACAGTGGGAGTGGGGATGGGGCCGTGGGGGCGCGTGGTGTGAAGAGGAAGGCGGGTGGGGGTGAGGAGGGAGAGGAGAGTGCAGGGCATGCGGGAGGAGCAGGGAAAGGGTCAGGGAAGAGCCGGCGTGTGGGGGGGGAGGTGCTAGTGGAGCAAGGAGGAGGGCACGATGGGTCCAGTGGGGATAGTGGGGCCGGTGGGGGTAGTGGGGCAGGTGGGGAGAAACGGGAGCAGGCAGGAATTGAAGAAGGTGGTGAGATGGGTGGTGGAGGAGCGGAGAAGCAAGTGTGCGGAGAGCAAGGCGAGAACGCCGGTGCGGTTGGAAGTGGTGGCGATGACATAAAGATGGGCGGCGCTTTCTCAGAAGGCACGCTTGATGCGAGTGGGAGGGAGGGGGTGAGAGAAGGTGGGGGGGCAGCGGTGGAGGGTGTAAAGGAAGCAGCAAAGGAGGGTGGGAGAGTGCAGAGTGAGGCAGAGAGGCGGGCACTGGAGCTGCTAGCGAGGCGTGGTCTGGGGGAGGCGGATCTGAAGGCGCTGGGGGAGATGCGACTGGGCGTAGGGGGGAGGCGGGGGCGAGGCAGAGGCAGAGGGGGCGCAGGGGGGAGCAGAGGTGGTGGGGGGCGAGGGGGGATGGGGAGGGGCGGTGGGCGGGGGGGGAGGGAGGGGGCAGGTGGCAGGGAGCAAGGCGAAGGGAAGCTGGCGGCAGCTGCTGCCCGTGCTGATGCTGCTGCTGCTGTCGTTGCTGCTGTTACTGCTGCTACTGGCGGCACTGGCAGTGGGAGGGATAATGGCAGTGCTGCTGGTGCCGTCGCTGTTGGTGCTGCTGCTGGTGGCAGTGGAGGCGAGTTTGAGCTGCTGTTGCGTCTGCCGGACGACATGCGCCCACAGGTGCCAGTCAACCTGCACAGCCGCGTCCCCACACCCCTCCGCCAGGTGCGCCCATCCGCCAGGTGCGCCCATCCGCCAGGTGCGCCCATCCGCCAGGTGTGCTGCACCCATCCGCCAGGTGTGCTGCACCCATCCGCCAGGTGTGCTGCACCCATCCGCCAGGTGTGCTGCACCCATCCGCCAGGTGTGCTGCACCCATCCGCCAGGTGTGCTGCACCCATCCGCCAGGTGCGCCCATCCGCCAGGCTGCAGTGCTGCGCAATGCATCGCTGGTGCTTGCTTCACCCTAGCCGCCGGTTCCCTTTGCATTCTCAACGTTCTCCTTCACAACATTCGTTAAAGCCACAACGGCCTTCTCCTTCTCTTTACCACCTCTCTCCCCCACCTTCCCCCCATTCCCTCACTTCTTCCCCCGTCCTCCCTCCATCACTATCACCACCACCGCAGAGGCACGTGAGTCTGTGGGTGAATCACCATCTGAGGGCTGTCCCTGTGTGTGCCATCGGGCGCAACGACCACACGTGGGCGGCGATAGCAGCGGGGGTGGCAGCAGAGCGGGCGCTTTTTGCCCAGGCGCCCAACAAGCGCGCCTACCTCTCCCTCTCTGCTCGCGCCCTCGCTGCCGCTCCCACCAACCTCAACTCTCCGTCTTCCTCCTCAATCCTCGCTGCTGCTCCTGCTGTTGCCTCTGCGGGTTCTTCTGCCAGAGCTGCATCGTCCCCCACCAAAGCTGCAGGCTCGGCAGCCAGCGTTGTGGATGAGGCTAGGCCGATTTCCATAGCTGATGCGTTGGCTCGGGCATCGGTGGCTCGGGCCCTCCGAGCCACTGGCTTGGATGGGCCGTCACCCCCCGGATCTCCTAAGAGGGAGGAGGCAGGGCGGGATAAGGGTCAGCAGGGGGGCGGGGGGGAGAGTACAAGCCCTGTGAAGCCACCTCAACCTGCTGCTGCCGTGCAGACAGGCAGGGGGCGTGACAATGTGGAGTGTGATTCCAGAGTGGGTCTGGGAAAGGGTGAAGGGGCTAAGGTCAGCGTGCAGGGAGCGCAGCAAGGAGGGGAGGCAGAGAGGGAGGCAGAGATACGGAGAGCAGCAGGGAAGAGTACCGGCGCAGCAGCGGGCGATGGTGGTCAGAAGAGCGAGCAGGGCGAGCAGGGGCGGGTGGAAGGCGCATGGCAGGGGGGACAGGAGGGGCCGGGGGAGAGGACGCAAGAGGAGGGCGGGGCGAGTGGGGAAGCGATGGTGGAGGCAGCGCCAGCCCCTGGGGGGGGGGAGGGCGATGCAGGGGAGGTGCTGGATGGGGACTGTGGGGCGAGTGCAGGTATACGCGAGGGGGGTGGAACCCTTGGCAGTGAGTGGAGCGAGGGGCGTGGTGAGAAGGCCTTTCCTGTGGGGCAATTGGGAACAGTAGCTGCTCACACGTCTGCTCCTCCTCTTGCTGCCACTGCTTCTGCTGTTGCTGTTTCTGCGGATGCCTGTGGTGCGGGTGGGAGTGGCAGTGAGGGGGCAGGGAGGGGTGCGGTGGGTGAGGGGGGAGGCGGGCCGAGCAGCAGCGCCGCACTGCCAGCTGGCAGCACCACCGTGCCAGCTGGCAGCTCTGCTGAGTCAGCCCAGCAGGGACACGGGAGGAAAGACCCCGTTTTAAACCAGGTACATCCCTGCCCCTTCTCCTTCTCGTCATCACCACTTTCCTCGTTTCCTTTCTTCAATCCCCACCCCTCTCTCGGCTCTTCTTCATGACTGCATGCCCACCTTGTCCTGCCATCCACATGCCTGCCATCCACATGCCTGCCATCCACATGCCTGCCATCCACATGCCTGCCACCTTGTCCTGCCATCCACATGCATGCCTCACATCTGCCCTCCCCCCACCCCTTCTCGAGTAAAAGAAGAGAGCATACGTGGAGCCTAACTGAGATGCGTTACCCTGCCTGTTCCCCTGTGTGAGCAGGTGGAGGTGTTTATCCGCGAACATCTGCGCCCCTTGGAGCGCAGCGGGGTGATAAGTGCAGAGCAGCGGCGCTGGGTGGCGAGCAAGGCGGCAGGCAAGGTGATGGAGCGGCACGGGGGGGCGCGGTCAGCCGCCTTCCTGGTGAAGGAGGGCGAGGACGTGCGGCGTCTGGCAGAGCGCTACCTGCGCACCTACCACGTGCGCTTCTCCAATGGGGGACCCACGCCCTCCTCCTCCTCCCCGCCCGCCGGCTGAACCGCGCTGCCATGGGACGTGCGGCGTCTGGCAGAGCGCTACCTGCGCACCTACCACGTGCGCTTCTCCAAGGGAGGCACCACACCGACATCCTCCTCCCCGCCGGCTGGATGACCCCCTCTGCCACCTCAACCTGGTATAGGTGATCCTTTCCACATACGGTACGCTCCTCCATGCCACCCCCTCTCCTCCGACCCCCTCCTCACGTCCTCACCTCCGGGGAGCTGAGCGTCGGGTTGTGAGCGTGCAACGGTGGTGCGTGGGAGTGGGTTGTGAGGGGACGTGACAGTGCCAAGGAGGTGGATGTGATTATTGATGGTTTGTTTAAAGGTGATTTACATTACTATGGTTTGCGAGGCTGCACCCTGTGGTGGTCACTTGCAGAGGCAGTGCAGCAGCAGGGCCTCCTTGTATCGGATCATGTATGATGCACACAGTATCGCAGTGGTGGATTGCAGGGAATCAAGTACTTCCTTCCTTATTGTACAAGTACGGAGTACCCTAAACTTGTCAGCCATTACTTGTCAAATATATCGCCTGTTTTTGTAATCTGCGTTCCGTGTTATAACGCAGCATCTTCAAACCCGTACAGAACGATGAACGAAGGCAGCAGCAGCATTGGCTTCCGACTCAGAAATTAGGACATGTGGGATAAACAAGAAGACAGTGGTAGTTTTTTTGAAAAACTGAACGTTTGGAGCAACAAGAAGGCAACGAGGGTGTGTGTGCTGTGCAGATATGGAGGTGGGGAGGACAGTGGGTCAGAAAGCTATCTTTCCACGTACGCGATTTTCTCAAGTTCCTGGCATTCCGACCAAGTCTGGTACTGAGGAAAAACAAGGCTAGCTTTCAGAACAACAGAGTCCCCAAATTCTCACCTAAATTATCCAGACATCGTCCAAGTGATTTCTGGACCAATCTGGTCAACATCAGGAATGACAGAAACATATGGAATATACTTGTGTTCAAGTGAACAGAAGTTATTGTAGGGGAGCTAGTTATTGCAGGTGAGCCTGTAGTGAAGTTTTTCGCGCGGAACATAAAAGTCCATCCGAGCCCTGGTGGATTCGAATCCACCAGGTGCCCCTCCTGGTGGAAGTCGTTTCCACCAGGACGCGGAGCCGGCGGAAGCTGTCTGCCCGGGGGCAAAAAAACTATTCCCCATCGCGACCGGCATGCCGTTCGGGAGCCTCAACCCTAAAATTTTAGGGTTGATGCCTCCCGAGCCGCATGCCTTCCGGATGGGTTTAGTTTTTTTTCTTGCCCGCGGGCAGATCGCCTCCGCGAGCACGCGGAAGCGGTCGCGGATTCGCCCGTGTTTTACTGTTCCTTCTCGTATGAACCTTTGAGAACTGCGGTTCGTCAGCACATTGGTGGCGACTGACGTCTGAGTCTCGACAGCACTGTGTTACTCTCTTGCTTCTTGCGCCGTTCCATAGAGGCTTGTGGGGACCACTAATAAAATCCTTCCTGCTGGACACATCCTTGCTGGGACGTCAGCCTGGCTGGCGGCATCCCCGAGGCCACTCCTCATGATGCTGCTGTTGATGGTGCTATTGGTCATGCTGGCTGGATCGTTCGCCCACGACATTCCCGAGCTCCGTTCTAGTCGCCTGCCAAATTCCAGCCTCTTGAATATCTTCACTGGATTTCTCGTGTTAAGCGTAGCTGATGCTGACTTTCATGGCTTCCCCAGCTTGACATGGCTGCTGGCTTATCATAGACTACGATCGTTATTGTTCAGTACAGCCATGGAAGTAGTAGCATGCCTCGATAAGGCCGTTTCAGCATCATGCTGACCTAGATTCTGATACGATTTTGCTTCTGAAGCCTGATTATTAACCGTACTGCTTAGCTCGGGAGCATGGTACTGGTGATTCTTAACCTCGGAATCTAAAGCCTCTCCATCGTTCTAGTTGCCTCGAATGCTGATTCCGTTTCCAGCATCTAGATTTTGATAGGCTGATTGTCAACCGCTTATGACGTCTTGGCTCAACAATGGTATCCCTTCCCAATAAGGATCTCCACCGCGTTAGTTGTCGCGTATGATCCATTTAGGCTTCGTGCCGCGATACCCAAATCTGTCATCATGATTCGATCAACGCTAGCGCGTTATGCAGCGCCGTAAACGCCTCGGGAATGACATTCGAAGTGCTTTCAGCATCCCAGGCGATACTGGCAGCATTATCAGGCAGTCCCGTAAGCGCATTGAGACAGTATCGCTGGAAGCACGGAGTCTTAGTAGCAGTAGTGAATCTCTACGAGAGTACCTGCTGGAGCTCCAAAGCTAGCGTCGCTGATCTATTAAGCTCTTTAGTCACCGTCGCTGCTGTGCTAAGCATCGACCGTCGCTGCTCCGCTGAGCTCCATAGCAACCGTCGATCATCCGTTAAGTTCCATGATAGCGAGTCGCTGATCTGCTAATATCCATAGCGACCGTCGCTGATCCGCTAAGTTCCATAGCAATTCGCTGATCCGCTAAGCTCCATAGCGACCGTCGCTGATCTGCTGAGCTTCGTAGCTACCGTCGCTTGCAAGAATGATTCATGACAAGCGATGACGTCGCTGCTCACGGATGGTTCAGCCTGTGGATATCTAGCAGCAAGGCGACCGGCGTCACGGTGACTCACGGCGACACAATGAGCAGCGAACGGCTAGCGTCGAATAGCCTGTTGGCGGGTAGCATCGTGCGACGATTGTCGAGTGGCGGTATTGATGGATTTCGAATCTCGAACAGTGGGTGACGGCTGCCGAACGGCGGGAGGCGAGATGGTACGAACAGCGAGCGACTAGCATTGTGCAACGATCGGCGAGCGGCAAATGGTGAATGGTGATTCATTCGAACGTTGAGCTTCGTGCGAGCGGCGAGCGGCGAGCAGCGAACAGCGCGCGCGTGACGAGAGGTGGCGAGATATGGACTGCGAGTCGCTGTTGACGACCAAATGCGTGCGAAGTCGGGGATACTGGCGACTTACGCATGCGATGATGTGCGGATGATGGCGACCAACCGTGTGCGACGGTGTGCGGAATGGCGACTTACTGCGTGCGACGGTGCGCGGAATAGCGACGAGCTGGGTGCAACGATGCGCAGAATGGCGACGCGGTGTGCGGAGTGCGACGAGCTGTGACGTAGTGCGGAATGGTGACTTACTGCGTGACGGCGTGCGGAATGACGAGTTGCTGTGTGCGACGGTGTGCGGAGTGGCGCTTGCCGTACGCGACGGTGTGCCGAACGGCGACTTGCTGCGTGCGACGGTGTGCGGAACGGCGACGCTGTTGCTTGCTGCTGCTGCCCTGGACGAGACACTTTCAGCCTCTACGCTTCTCCTTAGCTAAGTTAACTCTCCCCATCCTCCATCGCTCCCCATCCGTCTCTTGGCAAATCTCAAGGCAAATTCGTCTCTTGGCGCATGGTGGTGGTGGTTCATGTTGCTATGGCAGCAGAGCTCATGTAGAGTGTAGTGTGGTGGGAGTGGTGGGAGAGATTAGGGAGAGAGAGTGCATTCATGCCATGCCCGCGTCCCTCTCTACCCCAGTACCCCCTCGCTGGCTCAGCTCGCTGCTGTAGTGCCGTGGGCCACTGTCGCCATGCGCCTTCCGCCTCCCCCCTCCCACCACTCGTTTCTCGCTGTGCACGCCAACTAGGCAGCCTCAAGTCCCCAATGCCATGTTTCGAGTTTCTTGCTCTCCACTGCTCTAATGCCCACCTTAACATGCTTTCTAACCGAAGTGTTTGCTTCCAATGCTTCCCCATTCCTTCAGACAGCATCGGTCAACGCCATTCAACACCAGTCCTCAGCACCCACACCCGTGACATTGCTGCCATCATGGTATGGTATCCACCCCTATACCTGCATCCGCACTCTCCTTCGTTCCACCATGTTCACCCGTTCTACCTTTCACTCCTCCTTTTCACTTCATCCGCTCTCTCCTTTGCGTCTGTCTATTGCTGCTGGCCGCTCTGTCTGCTGCACGGCCTGGTTGCTCTTTCGTGGTGCACTCACTGTGTGTGGTTCCGTGTGGTGCAGGGGCGTTGTGGCTCTAGGTGCTGTACGTGCCTTGCTGTTCCAGTCCAAGGGCATGCAGCAGAGGTAGGAGGCCACACAGCCGGCACCTCGTTCAAGGAGTGAATCACTCAAGGAGCCACGCTCGCAGCACTGTCAAGCAGCAGCATTAGCGGCTGCGGTGGCGGCAATGGCAGGAAGCACGGAATGCTTTGGGCCGTGGCGGATTCAAGTTGCTACGCCATCGCGTGACAGGCGTAGAAGAAAAGTCAACGCCGCCAGCCACTTCGACCGCCAGCCACGTTGGGGCCTTTGCACTATGAGGTGATTTCGCCACCTCTCTGCCTCTGCCAAGCCAGCAGCACCTCATTTTCCGACTGCATTAGTTTCTCCTCCACTTTGCTTGGAGCAAACATTCGTTGAGCCCCACCATTTTTTTTCCTCCTTCCTTGGATTTCTGTACTATCCTCCCCATGCTGTTGCCTTTTCCTTGCCTTCACCTGGCGATTTTCTCCTCCTTTTTGCTTGTAGGGAAACACTCGAAGGAGCATCGCCAACGGTTTGTGGCGACGGTATGCTCAAGATAGCAACTAACCAATGGCACCCCACATTTCTCACAACCCACGGTGTGTGGATGATGGCGGCGAGCTGCGTGGGGCGCTGCTGCTGGCTGCTGTCGCCCTGGAGGATTTCTGCTGCCTTGGGCGAGTCACTCTCTGCATCCACGCTTCTCCCCCAGCTAAGTCTCCTCTCCGGCTCGCCACTTCCCCTCCTTTCTTCAAGGCGTCCCTTGGCGCATGGTGATGGTGGTCCACGGTGCTATGGCAGCAGAGCTTATGTAGAGTGCAGTGTAGTGGTAGTGGTGGAGGAGATTAGTGGGAGAGGCAGTGCATTCATGCCATGCGCGTGTCCCTCTCCAGCCCAGTCCCCCCTCGCTGCCTCAGCTCGCTGCTGTAGTGCCGTAGGCCACTGTCGCCATGCGCCTATCCCTTTTCCCCTCTTCCCCCTCCCACCACTCAAATCTCGAGTTTCTCACTCTTGCTCTCCACTGCTTCTGCTCTATTGCCCACCTTGACCTGCTTTCTGCCCACATCTGAGTTTCTGTCTCTGCATGAGGCCAATCCCTTTGCATCTCCCCCATCCATCCTCTAGCCTCAGGGCCAATGCCTTCTCCCGCTTGCCTTTGCCTTTCCCTTCTTGCCTCGTCCCTTTTTCTTTTCCCTCCTTTCCTCGTCTCTTTTTCTTGTCCTTATGTCTTCTCAGTATTACTACTGCGTCTCCTTGCCTCTGCTAGGCCTCCCTTAGCAACCAACGCATCTCATAAAGACCTACAACGCGATGGAAGAGGCGCTTGAGCGTGATAAGTTCCTCACTGCTGAGGCGGCGCGTAAGCATTGTTTCTCCTCCATTTTGATTGCAGAAAAACACTCGAAAAGCCACGCTATCAGCACCAACAAGCAGAAACACCGGCAGCAGCAGCAATGCCAAGGGTTTAGGTGTGGTGGACTGAGGAGCTACTCAACCGAATGTAATGACGGCCGGCCAATGAAGGGCATGGAGGCAAAGTCGACACTGGCAGTTTCCTCGTCTTACTTACCCACCCTTCACTTCTCCCACTACTAGTGCCCCGTCTCATACCCCCCCACTTTCTTTCCACTCCCCACCTTTCCACCTCACCCTGTCTGTCACTGCTTCTTCTCGCAGGGCTGCTTCATCTCTCGCTTTTATTCCCATCCGCCTCATTCCCATCCGCCTCGCTTCCCATCCGCCTCATTCCCATCCGCCTCGCTTCCCATCCGCCTCATTCCCATCCGCCTCATTCCCATCCGCCTCGCTTCCCATCCGCCTCGCTTCCCATCCGCCTCATTCCCATCCACCTCATTCCCATCCGTCTCACCCATCCGACTCGCTTCCCATCCGCCTCATTCCCATCCACCTCATTCCCATCCGCCTCATTCCCATCCGCCTCATTCCCATCCGCCTCATTCCCATCCACCTCCTTCCCATCCGCCTCGCTTCCCATCCGCCTCATTCCCATCCGCCTCATTCCCGTCCACCTCATTCCTATCCGCCTCATTCCCATCCGCCTCATTCCCCGCCTCATTCCCATCCGCCTCATTCCCGTCCACCTCATTCTCATCCGTCTAACCCATCCGCCTCGCTTCCCATCCGCCTCATCCCCATCCGCCTCATTCCCATCCGTCTCACCCATCCGCCTCGTTTCCCATCCGCCTCATTCCCATCCGCCTCATTCCCATCCCATCCGCCTCATTCCCATCCGCCTCATTCCCATCCGCCTCATTCCCATCCGCCTCATTCCCATCCGCCTCATTCCCGTCCACCTCATTCCCATCCTTCTCACCCATCCGCCTCGCTTCCCATCCGCCTCATTCCCATCCGCCTCATTCCCATCCACCTCATTCCCATCCGCCTCGCTTCCCATCCGCCTCATTCCCATCCGCGTCATTCCCATCCGTCTCACCCATCCGCCTCGCTTCCCATCCGCCTCATTCCCATCCGCCTCATTCCCATCCGCCTCATTCCCGTCCACCTCATTCCTCCTTCCCATCCGCCTCGCTTCCCATCCGCTTCATTCCCATCCGCCTCATTCCCGTCCACCTCATTCCCATCCGTCTCACCCATCCGCCTCGCTTCCCATCCGCCTCGCTTCCCATCCGCCTCATTCCCATCCGCCTCATTCCCATCCCATCCGCCTCATTCCCATCCCATCCGCCTCATTCCCATCCGCCTCATTCGCATCCGCCTCATTCCCATCCGCCTCATTCCCATCCGCCTCATTCCCATCCGCCTCATTCCCATCCACCTCATTCCCATCCGCCTCATTCCCATCCCATCCGCCTCATTCCCATCCGCCTCGCTTCCCATCCGCCTCATTCCCATCCGCCTCGCTTCCCATCCGCCTCATTCCCATCCGCCTCATTCCCATCCGCCTCATTCCCATCCGCCTCATTCCCATCCGCCGCATTCCCATCCGCCTCGCTTCCCATCCGCCTCATTCCCATCCGCCTCATTCCCATCCGCCTCATTCCCATCCACCTCCTTCCCATCCGCCTCGCTTCCCATCCGCCTCATTCCCATCCGCCTCATTCCCATCCGCTTCCCATCCGCCTCATTCCCATCCCGTCCGCCTCATTCCCATCCGCCTCATTCGCATCCGCCTCATTCCCATCCGCCTCATTCCCATCCGCCTCGCTTCCCATCCGCCTCGCTTCCCATCCGCCTCATTCCCATCCACCTCATTCCCATCCGTCTCACCCATCCGACTCGCTTCCCATCCGCCTCATTCCCATCCGCCTCATTCCCATCCGCCTCATTCCCATCCGCCTCATTCCCATCCGCCTCATTCCCATCCACCTCCTTCCCATCCGCCTTGCTTCCCATCCGCCTCATTCCCATCCGCCTCGCTTCCCATCCGCCTCATTCCCATCCGCTTCCCATCCGCCTCATTCCCATCCGCCTCACTTCCCATCCGTCTCATCCATCCGCCTCGCTTCCCATCCGCCTCATTCCCATCCGCCTCATTCCCATCCGCCTCATTCCCATCCGCCTCATTCCCATCCGCCTCATTCCCATCCGCCTCATACGCATCCGCCTCATTCCCATCCGCTTCGCATCCGCCTCATTCCCATCCGCCTCATTCCCATCCGCCTCATTCCCATCCGCCTCATTCCCATCCGCCTCGCATCCCATCCGCCTCATTCCCATCCTCCTCGCTTCCCATCCGCTTCCCATCCGCCTCATTCCCATCCGCCTCATTCCCATCCACCTCCTTCCCATCCGCCTTGCTTCCCATCCGCCTCATTCCCATCCGCCTTATTCCCCTCCACCTCATTCCCATCCCATCTGCCTCTCCCTCACACCCCCAGAGCAGCGGCGCCTCTCCCTCACAACCCCCCAGAGCAGCGGCGCCTCTCCCTCACAACCCCCAGAGCAGCGGCGCCTCTCCCTCACAACCCCCAAGAGCAGCGGCGCCTCTCCCTCACACCACCCCAAAGCAGCGGCGCCTCTCGCTCACAACCCCCCAGAGCAGCGGCGCCTCGCCCTCACAACCCCCCAGAGCAGCGGCGCCTCTCCCTCACAACCCCCCAGAGCAGCGGTGCCTCTCCCTCACATCCCCCCAGAGCAGCGGCGCCTCTCCCTCACAACCCCCAGAGCAGCGGCGCCTCTCCCTCACAACCCCCAGAGCAGCGGCGCCTCTCCCTCACAACCCCCCAGAGCAGCGGCGCCTCTCCCTCACAACCCCCCAGAGCAGCGGCACCTCTCCCTCACAACCCCCCAGAGCAGCGGCGCCTCTCCCTCACATCTCCCCAGAGCAGCGGCGCCTCTCCCTCACAACCCCCCCAGAGCAGCGGCGCCTCTCCCTCACAACCCCCCAGAGCAGCGGCGCCTCTCCATCACAACCCCCCAGAGCAGCGGCGGCTCTCCCTCACAACCCCCAGAGCAGCGGCGCCTCTCCCTCACAACCCCCCAGAGCAGCGGCGCCTCTCCCTCACAACCCCCCAGAGCAGCGGCGCCTCTCCCTCACAACCCCCAGAGCAGCGGCGCCTCTCCCTCACAACCCCCAGAGCAGCGGCGCCTCTCCCTCACAACCCCCCAGAGCAGCGGCGCCTCTCCCTCACAACCCCCCTGAGCAGCGGCGCCTCTCCCTCACATCTCCCCAGAGCAGCGGCGCCTCTCCCTCACAACCCCCCCAGAGCAGCGGCGCCTCTCCCTCACAACCCCCCAGAGCAAAGGCGCCTCTCCCTCACAACCCCCAAGAGCAGCGGCGCCTCTCCCTCACATCTCCCCAGAGCAGCGGCGCCTCTCCCTCACAACCCCCCAGAGCAGCGGCGGCTCTCCCTCACAACCCCCCAGAGCAGCGGCGCCTCTCCCTCACAACCCCCCAGAGCAGCGGCGCCTCTCCCTCACAACCCCCCAGAGCAGCGGCGCCTCTCCCTCACAACCCCCAAGAGCAGCGGCGCCTCTCCCTCACAACCCCCCAGAGCAGCGACGCCTCTCCCTCACAACCCCCAGAGCAGCGGCGCCTCTCCCTCACAACCCCCAGAACAGCGGCGCCTCTCCCTCACAACCCCCCAGAGCAGCGGCGCCTCTCCCTCACAACCCCCCAGAGCAGCGGCGCCTCTCCCTCACAACCCCCAGAGCAGCGGCGCCTCGCCTTCACAACAGGGGGAGTGCACCCGATCTCTCCTTCGTTCCACCATGTGATTCCACCCGTTCTCTCTTTGAACTCTTCCATTTCAGACCGTCCACTCTCTCCTTGGCTTCTGGTTGTTGCTGCTGGCCGCTCTGTCTGGTGCACGGCCTGGTTGCTCGTCGTGGTGCACTCAAAGTGTGTGGTTCCCTGTTGTGCGGGGGGATGATGGCTCTATTGATGCACGTGCCTTGCTGTTTCAAGGGGAGGCAGCAGAGGGAGGAGGCGCATGGAGGGGTGGCAGTGGGATGAATAACTGCCGATACTCACTGCGTGCTGCCGGCCCTGCTGACAGCTTCTCACCACTGTATGCGCTCATGTGCCGAGGGGGAGTGGGGACTGGAGGATCAGGGAAGTGTGCCCCTTCCTTCCCTCCTGTACGTGTCGTTTTCACGTTGTTCCTTTTGCCTTTCCCTTGTGTCTTCATCCTTTTTGCCTTGTTGCTTGTCCTTCCATCTTTGCATTCTGCCTTGTTCTTGATTTCTCCACGCTCCTGCAAGGCGCCGCCCAACAACTCGCCGTCACTTTTGTCCTCCTTTTTGCTTGCAGGGAAGCACACTTAGGAGCACCACCATCGGTGTGTGGCGACTTACACAGTGGGGCGTTCTGTGTGCGACATATGCACAAGATAGCCGCCAACCAATCGCATGGCACGTTCATCTGATGGTGTGTCGATGATGGCGGCGAGCTGCGTGGGACGCTGCTGCTTGCTGCTGTCGCCCTGGAGGATTTCTGCTGCCTTGGCCGAGTCACTCTCTGCGTCCACGCTACTCCCGCAGCTAAGTCTCCTATCCGCGCCCTCATCCTCTCCTCCCTTTCTACTCCTCTATCCCCATCTGTACCTTCCAATCTTGACAATTTTCACGACGCATCCATCTTTTGGCGCATGGTGGTGGTGGTCCATGGTGCTGTAGCAGTGGAGCTCATGCAGAGTGTAGTGTAGTGGGAGTGGTGGGAGAGATTAGAGGGAGAGGGAGTGCACTCATGCCATGCGCGCGTCCCTCTCTACCCCAGTCCCCCCTCGCTGGCTCAGCTCGCTGCTGTAGTGCCGTGGGCCACTGTCGCCATGCGCCTACCCCTTTCCCCCTCCCCCCTCCTCCCCCCTCAGGGCGAATGCATTCTCCCGCTCGACACAGCAGCAGAGCACTGGCTGCAGAAGCACGGCAGTCAGCATCAGTCAACGCCAGTCAACGCCAGTCTTCAGCACCCACACCCATGCCATCGCTGCCATTATGGTATGGTATGCATCCATTTAACCCGTTCTCTCTTCCACTCCTCCATACCCGCACTTCGTCTGCTCTCTCCTTCGCTTCTGTCTGTTGCTGCTGGCTGCTCTATCTGCTACACGGCCTGGTTGCACTTCGTACTGCGCTCACTGTGATTTTCCCTCAGTAAGGTGTTCAGTGGGGGTGGAGGTTCAGGGAAGTGTTTTCCCTCCCTCCCACCTGTCAATTTCTCTGGTTGACTTGTCATTTTCATGTTGTTGCCTTTTCCCTTCCCTTCTTGCCTCGTCCCTTTTTCTTTTCCCTCTTTTCCTCGTCCCCTTGTCCTTATGTCTTCTCAGTATTACTGCGTCCCCTTGCCTCTGCTAGGCCTCCCTTAGCAACCAACGCATCTCCCATAGCATTGTTTCTCCTCCATTTTGCTTGCAGAAAGACACTCGAAAAGCCACGCTGTCAGAACCGACAAGCAGAACCACCGGCAGCAGCAGCAATGCCAGCAGTAAGAGCAGTGGGAGGTGTGGTGGACTAAGGAGCTACACACCCGAATGTAATGACGGCCAGCCAATGAAGGGCGTGGAAGCAAAGTCGAACTGGAAGTTTCCTCGTCTTAGATACGCACCCTTCACTTCTCCCACTCCTGCCCCGGCTCTTACCCCCCTACTTTCTTTCCCACCTCACACTGTCTGTCACTGCTTCTTCTCGCAGGGCTGATTCATCTGCCCTCACTTTCATTCCCATCCGCCTCATTCCCATCCGCATTATCCCCATCCGCCTCATTCCCATCCGCATTATCCCCATCCGCCCCATTCCCATCAGCCTCATTCCCATCCGCCTCATTCCCATCCGCCCCATTCCCATCAGCCTCATTCCCATCCGCCCAATTCCCATCAGCCTCATTCCCATCCGCCTCATTCCCATCTGCCCCATTCCCATCAGCCTCATTCCAATCCGCCTCATTCCCATCCGCCCCATTCCCATCAGCCTCATTCCCATCCGCCTCATTCCCATCCGCCTCATTCCCATCCGCCTCATTCCCTTCCGCCTCATTCCCATCCGCCTCATTCCAATCCGCCTCATTCCCATCCGCCGCATTCCCATCCGCCTCGCTTCCCATCCACCTCATTCCCATCCGCCCCATTCCCATCAGCCTCATTCCCATCCGCCTCATTCCCATCCGCCCCATTCCCATCAGCCTCATTCCCATCCCCCTCATTCCCATCAGCCTCATTCCCATCCGCCTCATTCCCATCCGCCCCATTCCCATCAGCCTCATTCCAATCCGCCTCATTCCCATCCGCCCCATTCCCATCAGCCTCATTCCCATCCGCCTCATTCCCATCCGCCTCATTCCCATCCGCCTCATTCCCATCCGCCTCATTCCAATCCGCCTCATTCCCATCCGCCGCATTCCCATGCGCCTCGCTTCCCATCCGCCTCATTCCCATCCGCTTCATTCCCATCCGCCTCATTCCCATCCGCCTCATTCCCATCCGCGCCGCCCCTCACAACCCCTAGAGCAGCAGCGCCTCGCCCTCACATCCCTCCAGAGCAGGGGCGCCTCTCCCTCACAACCCCCCAGAGCAGCATCGCCTCGCCCTCACAACCCCCCAGAGCAGCGGCGCTTCTCCCTCACAACCCTCAGAGCAGCGGCGCCTCTCCCTCACAACCCCCCAGAGGAGCGGCGCCTCTCCCTCACTAACCCCAGAGCAGCGGCGCCTCAACCTCACAACCCCTCAGAGCAGCGGCGCTTCTCCCTCACAACCCTCAGAGCAGGGGTGCCTCTCCCTCACAACCCCCCAGAGCAGCGGCGCCTCTCCCTCACAACCCCCAGAGCAGCGGCGCCTCTCCCTCATAACCCCTCAGAGCAGCGGCGCCTCTCCCTCACAACCCCTCAGAGCAGCGGCGCCTCTCTCTCACAACCCCCCAGAGCAGTGGCGCCTCTCCCTCACAACCCCCCAGAGCAGCGGCGCCTCTCCCTCACAACCCCCAGAGCAGCGGCGCCTCTCCCTCACAACCCCCCAGAGCAGCGGCGCCTCTCCCTCACAACCTTCCAGAGCAGCGGCGCCTCTCCCTCACAACCCCCCAGAGCAGCGGCGCCTCTCCCTCACAACCCCCCAGAGCAGCGGCGCCTCTCCCTCACAACCCCCCACAGCAGCGGCGCCTCTCCCTCACAACCCCTCAGAGCAGTGGCGCCTCTCCCTCACAACCCGCCAGAGCAGCGGCGCCTCTCCCTCACAACCCCCCACAGCAGCGGCGCCTCTCCCTCACAACCCCCCAGAGCAGCGGCGCCTCTCCCTCACAACCCCTCAGAGCAGCAGCGCCTCTCCCTCACAACCCCCCAGAGCAGCGGCGCCTCTCCCTCACTACCCCCCAGAGCAGCGGCGCCTCTCCCTCACAACCCCCCAGAGCAGCGGCGCCTCTCCCTCACAACCCCCCAGAGCAGCGGCGCCTCGCCCTCACAACCCCCAGAGCAGCGGCGCCTCTCCCTCACAACCTCCAAGAGCAGCGGCGCCTCTCCCTCACAACCCCTCAGAGCAGCGGCGCCTCTCTCTCACAACCCCCCAGAGCAGTGGCGCCTCTCCCTCACAACCCCCCAGAGCAGCAGCGCCTCTCCCTCACAACCCCCAGAGCAGCGGCGCCTCGCCCTCACAACCCCCAGAGCAGCGGCGCCTCTCCCTCACAACCCCCCAGAGCAGCGGCGCCTCGCCCTCACAACCCCCAGAGCAGCGGCGCCTCTCCCTCACAACCTCCCAGAGCAGCGGCGCCTCTCCCTCACAACCCCCCAGAGCAGCAGCGCCTCTCCCTCACAACCCCTCAGAGCAGCGACGCCTCGCCCTCACAACCCCCCAGAGCAGCGGCGCCTCTCCCTCACAACCCCTCAGAGCAGTGGCGCCTCTCCCTCACAACCCCCCAGAGCAGCGGTGCCTCTCCCTCACAACCCCCCAGAGCAGCGGTGCCTCGCCCTCACAACCCCCAGTGCAGCGGCGCCTCTCCCTCACAACCCCCCAGAGAAGCGGCGCCTCTCCCTCACAACCCCCCAGAGCAGCGGCGCTTCGCCCTCACAACCCCTCAGAGCAGCTGCGCCTCACCCTCACAACCCCCCAGAGCAGCGGTGCCTCGCCCTCACAACCCCCCAGAGCAGCGGCGCCTCTCTCTCACAACCCCCCAGGGCAGCGGCGCCTCTCCCTCACAACCCCCCAGGGCAGCGGCACCTCTCCCTCACAACCCCCCGGAGCAGCGGCGCCTCTCCCTCACAACCCCCCGGAGCAGCGGCGCCTCTCCCTCACAACCCCCCAGAGCAGCGGCACCTCTCCCTCACAACCTCCCAGAGCAGCGGCGCCTCTCCCTCACAACCCCTCAGAGCAGCGGCGCCTCTCTCTCACAACCCCCCAGAGCAGTGGCGCCTCTCCCTCACAACCCCCCAGAGCAGCGGCGCCTCTCCCTCACAACCCCCAGAGCAGCGGCGCCTCGCCCTCACAACCCCCAGAGCAGCGGCGCCTCTCCCTCACAACCCCCCAGAGCAGCGGCGCCTCTCCCTCACAACCCCCCAGAGCAGCGGCGCCTCGCCCTCACAACCCCCAGAGCAGCGGCGCCTCTCCCTCACAACCTCCCAGAGCAGCGGCGCCTCTCCCTCACAACCCCCCAGAGCAGCAGCGCCTCTCCCTCACAACCCCTCAGAGCAGCGGCGCCTCGCCCTCACAACCCCTCAGAGCAGTGGCGCCTCTCCCTCACAACCCCCCAGAGCAGCGGTGCCTCTCCCTCACAACCCCCCAGAGCAGCGGTGCCTCGCCCTCACAACCCCCAGTGCAGCGGCGCCTCTCCCTCACAACCCCCCAGTGCAGCGGCGCCTCTCCCTCACAACCCCCCAGAGAAGCGGCGCCTCTCCCTCACAACCCCCCAGAGCAGCGGTGCTTCGCCCTCACAACCCCTCAGAGCAGCTGCGCCTCGCCCTCACAACCCCCCAGAGCAGCGGTGCCTCGCCCTCACAACCCCCCAGAGCAGCGGCGCCTCTCCCTCACAACCCCCCAGAGCAGCGGCGCCTCTCTCTCACAACCCCCCAGAGCAGCGGCACCTCTCCCTCACAACCCCCCAGAGCAGCGGCGCCTCTCCCTCACAACCCCCCGGAGCAGCGGCGCCTCTCCCTCACAACCCCCCGGAGCAGCGGCACCTCTCCCTCACAACCCCCCAGAGCAGCGGCGCCTCTCCCTCACAACCCCCCAGAGCAGCGGCGCCTCTCCCTCACAACCCCCCAGAGCAGCGGCGCCTCTCCCTCACAACCCCCAGAGCAGCGGCGCCTCTCCCTCACAACCCCCAGAGCAGCGACGCCTCTCCCTCACAACCCCCAGAGCAGCGGCGCCTCGCCCTCACAACCCCCAGAGCAGCGGCGCCTCTCCCTCACAACCCCCCGGAGCAGCGGCGCCTCTCCCTCACAACCCCCCAGAGCAGCGGCGCCTCTCCCTCACAACCCCTCAGAGCAGCGGCGCCTCGCCCTCACAACCCCCCAGAGCAGCGGCGCCTCTCCCTCACAACCCCCCAGAGCAGCGGCGCCTCTCCCTCACAACCCCCTAGAGCAGCGGCGCCTCTCCCTCACAACCCCCCAGAGCAGCGGCGCCTCTCCCTCACAACCCCCAGAGCAGCGGCGCCTCTCCCGCCTGCGCCTGCAGGTGGTCCTCCTGCTTCGACACAATCTACACCTCCGTATCCTTCATAAATAACGTCGCTCCTTCACCTTCAAATGATTTATTTCTCGGCCCTTTGTCTCCTCTTTCTTCACATGCCTTTTTCGCTCGTGTTTCCTCCTTCAGTTGTGATCAACAGCAGTGTGCGGAGCAACATTTTGGCTGCAACATTGGAGCACGTGGGCGCACAAGAATAGCACGAGGGTGCTTTGAGGATTTTCTTGTGGTGAGTTTCTGCACCCACCCCTTTTTCTTCTGCACCACTCTTGCATGGCGCGCCAATGCCCCTTCCAACCCCACACTTCCTGTCCATGTCTCACAGTCATTTGCCTTCCATGGCTGTTTCTCTCTCTGCCCGGCAACACAATTCCATATCATATCGCATTATCGTATCGTATGTGTACATTGTGTAGGTAGGGATCCAAATCATGTAGATCATGTACCCCAATCGGACACCACCCATCATTTCATATCATTCTCGTCTGCCTTGCCGCCTCCTCTCGTCTGCTTGCAGGGCAACCGCAGCATCTCCGGGATACAACCGCAGCATCTCCGGGATACAACCGCAGCATCTCCGGGATACAACTGCAACAGCTGCGTTTGGAAGCTGAGGACCACATGCTTGCAAGACGGAAGATGAAGAACATATATGTTAGAGCAGATAGGGGTTGATGGGCTATCTAGAGTAGTAACACTCAGGTATGGTATCCCCCCCTCTCCTCCTTGACCCCCCAAATCCCAACCCACCCACCCCCCCTTACTCCATCCCATCCCTTCCCGTCCCCCCTCCAACCCCCCTGCCCTTCGTAGGGATTTCCCCACATCCTCTTCCCCTCGCTGCGTTGCCCCACTGCGTTGACTCGAACCCCACTCGCTGCATTGCCCCTCCCCATTTATCCCCCTGCAAACCACCTCCCTCTGCAACCCACCTCCCCCTGTGACCCACCTCCCCTTGTGACCCACCTCCCCTTGTGACCCACCTCCCCTTGTGACCCACCTCCCCCTGCGACCCACCTCCCTCTGCGACCCCACCGCCAGCAACCCCCTGCGTAGGCTGCTAACCACAGGGCTAGGCACAGGGCTAACCACAGGACTGACCACAGGGCTGACCACAGGGATAACCACAGGGCTAATCGCAGGTGTAACCACAGGGCTAATTGCAGGGTTAACCACGGCTTATAACAGAGCTCGTAGCATGCTAATCACAGAGATGGTGGATGAGAGCTAACTAAAGAGTATACTCATTCACAGGGCTTGTGTACCAGAACACAAACCCACGAGCTGTCAAGATACGAACATTGTGTCCACAGAACTTGTGCATATGGGCACTATAAACACAGGGTGTATGCTGCAGTAGCAACCACAGGGGTTGTGCATTAGGGCAGGCTTGCTACAGGTTTGTGCATCAAAGCAAGTGTGCTAAGCACAGGGTTTGTAAAAAAAAATGTACCCAACGAGCGCTCTGCATACTCTTCTCAATACACTCCGGAAGATCTTGGTTACTGAATACTATATGTAGTCGTTAAGTGCATTATGATTCTGTTCCATGGACTGGGCTGAAGTGGTGCAGAAGAAGCTCTTTATTGTACCTTATAAGTATGGAGTAGTGGAATAGTTTATCGCATTATCAATCTTCACGCGAACTGATTTTTTGCATCAGAGAGTTGTATTGTAACGCGGCGTCTTCATACCCGTACGGAACGATCAAAAGTTCCAGAAGCAGCATTCGCAAGTGAATCCAGCCAGTCTCGCACCATTCCGTCTACATACCACGCACCCTCCTGACGCCGTGTCGCCTTCTCCCTCGTCCCTCGCTCCCCCCTCCCTCCTCGCGCTCTCGCTCCTTGCCCCTTGCTCCTTTTCTCGCCGCGCCGCATGGCGCGCGCCCATTGCGTATCGCGGCCTCTTTTTGCCGCCATCCTGCGCGCATCGGCGGGCGCCGTGCGTCTGCTACTGCTCGTCGCCTTCCTCGCCCTCGTCGCCCCCTCCCCAGCCTCCGCGTCGCGTCCAACCGACGGCAGCGACGCCAATGATGCCTCGCACTCGAACATTGCTGCCGCCGCCGCCGCCGCAGCCGCCGCGGATGGCGGCATGGCGGACGCGGGAATGGGATTGGGGATTGCGGATCAGTATGTTTCTACTGAGGATCTCCCAGCGGCGAATGCGGCGGTAGATGCGGCGGCCAATGCGGCGAGAGATGCGGCGACGGACGCGGCGGGGCAGGCAGAGTTCGATCCTAGATTGGCGGGAGTCGAGGAGGAGGAGCGATTGGTGGACGAGCTGCTGACGTGGCTGGAGGAGAGAGGCGTGACTGGGATCCGAGGGGAGGAGGCGGCAGTGGAGGTGAGACGATGGGGGCTATGTGGGTGATTGCCTTGACTCAGAAATTGGGTCATGTGGAGAGAATGATGAATTCACACTGAACGCGATGAGCGGATGTGTGGAGAGGTGGAGGCGGGGAGGAGGCGGTGCGGTGAGGTACTGGGGAGGGGCGTGTGCTCATTCCACCTCTGCTGCATGCAAGCGAGCCGATTTCCCGCCACACCCTCTCCGCGCTACTTCCCCGCGTTCCACTCGCCACAACTCATGCACACTTCTGCTCTCTACTCCCCTGCTGCCCTTCCCTGCCGCCCTCCCTTGCCGCCCCTGCTGCACGCGTGCAGGTATTCATAGACGCCAACACCACACTCAAGGCGTCCGGCAGGTCAAGGTGAGTCAACGCCAGTCAATGCAAGTCAAGCTGAGCGAGTCAGTGCAAGTCAAAACAAGCAAGCATCAAGTAAAACAAGGCGGTCTAAAGCACAGTCATTGATTCCCAATTCACTCTCCCTACCCTGCCGTTGCCATGCTTCCCACCACACCCCACGCGGCCAGTGAGTTTCTCCTGGCCACCCGCTTTTCACCTCCCTCCCTTCCCACCTCATCACCAGGGCGAATCTGGGCATGGTAGCTCGCCGTCCCATCGCGGAGGGCGAGGTGTTTCTGTCGCTGCCTCGCTCGCTCGCCGTCTCTGCCCTCCAAGCGCAGGAGGAGGCAAAGCCGTACGAGGGAGAGGTGAGATGAGGGCGAGGAACACGAGGGGGAGGTGAGGTGGGAGGACTCTTTCTCACCTCGTTGGGCGAGGAGTGTCGAAAACGAGAAGCCTCGTTGCTGGCCAACCGAATCTCATGTCTCATTGCCCCTTCACAGTAACTTCTTTCCCCGCAACATCATCCCTGCCTGCAACCCTATCCGCATCCCCGACACATGCATGCGCCCTTTGCCGTACCACCCTCTTCCCCCCCTTTTACGCAAGTGCGTCCGTTCACGGCGCTGCCATACCCTTCCCCACCCCCACAATATCTCTGCCTTCCTCACCCCACAACCTTCCCCCCTCCCCCCCCCCACCCCCCCAGGTGCACCCGTTCACGGCGCTGGCGGCGTGGGTGCTGAGGGAGCGGGGCAAGGGGCGCGCGTCCCTGTGGGCGCCCTTCGTGCGCCTGCTGCCCGCCCACCTGCCCTTCCCCCACCTCCTCCGCCCCCAGCTCCTGCCAGAACTGCAGTATGACGTCATGCTGGCGGAGGTGAGGGCGCGGGGAATGTGATGATGATGGATGGGGAGGGCGGTGAACGGGAGGGGACTATGGCTCTGTTGGTGTGTGTGAGGTGACTCTTCGTGCTGCTCTCACTCACATGCCACAATCAACCCAACACCACCAGTGATGCCTGGGTACCCCTAGATACTCCCCTCACTCTCCCTCCCATGCTCTGCCTTCCGTTCTCTCTCCTCTTTCCTTCTCCCCTGCCTCTCACAGGTCACGGAGCACAAGAAGGCGCTCCTGCAAGAGTACAACAAGTGCCGCCCAGAGGCCATCGCCAATGCCACCCAGGAGGAGTTCTTCTGGGCGGCAGGGATCGTCACTTCCCGCATGTTTGCGTTGAGGCCTGCTGCAGCAGCAGAGGGAGAGGGCGAGGGGAAGGAGGGGGAGGGGCAGGGCGAGGAGGAGAGGCAGGAGGCAGACATATCGCTGGTGCCGTATGGGGACCTCTTTGACACTGATGACGTGCCCATCGCCATCTGGCAGGTCAGTATTTTGCCACGTGGCAGGTCAGTGCGTTGCCACGTGGCAGCAATCCAGTCTGAGGGCATTCGTGCAGCCACACCTCACGCCTCCCACTCCACCCCCTCTTCCCTTCTCTCCCAACTTTTTTAACCCCACCAGGACACGGGCAGCAGGATAGAGTTCACAGCACTGACGGACATACCAGCGGGGCAGCACGTGGCAGTGCACTACGGGGAGCTGATCAACGACTCAAGACGCATCCCCTCTTTCCCCTCCACCCACCCCCCCAACCCCCAACCCCTTCATCAGGACACGGGCAGCAGCATAGAATTCACGGCACTGACGGACATCCCAGCGGGGCAACACGTGGCAGTGCACTATGGGGAGCTGAGCAACGACGAGGCGCTGGTGATGCGCGCCATGGTGCTGGGCGGCAACTACCGCGACCACCTGCACCTCTTCTCCTCGCCCCAAGATGCCATTCGCTTCCACGTGGACAAGTTCCTGCGCGGCTACGGGCACACGCTGGAGCGGGTGAGAGAGGGGCCGCTGGAGGCTGCAGTGAGGGCAGTAAGAGGCACGCGAGAAAAAGAGCAAGGTTCTTCGTGTCCGTTGCAACCTGGTTGGCGCCCATTTCTTCCTCTATGCCCTCTGCACATGGAGCCTTCCGCAAAGGCGGAACGGCATGGCCTTTAGTCAATGCTGCCCAGCCCTCTCTGTCCAGTCGTTCCTTATAAACTCACATACAAGAAGCCCCACAAAATGTGCGCCCATACGCCCCACAGACGCCCCTGCAGGGCACATTCGAGCGCGTGGAAGCAGAGCTGCAGCAGCAGGCAGCGGCACCGCAGTACGCGGGCGTGGCGCAGCGCTTTGAGTACCGCATGGCGCCCGGCAGCCCCCTGTCGGCGTGGTTCGGCGGGCGGTTCGACCCACGCCTGCTGGGCATCTTCACTGCGCTGCACGCCCTCGTTGTCAACAACCGCAGTGCGTGCTCTCCCTGCCCTCCCTGCCCTCCATGCCCCTCCCTGCCCTCCATGCCCTCTCTCCCTCTCTTCTGCCTGCTGGGCATCTTCACGGCGCTGCACGCCCTCGTCAAACCTGATCTCCAACCTTACGTCAAACCTGATCTCCAACCTGACGTCAAACCTGATCTCCAACCTGACGTCAAACCTGATCTCCAACCTGACGTCAAACCTGATCTCCAACCTGACGTCAAACCTGATCTCCAACCTGACGTCAAACCTGATCTCAACCCGACGTCAAACCTGATCTCCAACCTGACGTCAAACCTGATCTCCAACCTGACGTCAAACCTGATCTCCAACCCGACGTCAAACCTGATCTCCAACCTGACGTCAAACCTGATCTCCAACCCGACGTCAAACCTGATCTCCAACCTGACGTCAAACCTGATCTCCGACCGGACGTCAAACCTGATCTCCGACCGGACGTCAAACCTGATCTCCCACCCGACGTCAAACCTGATCTCCAACCGGACGTCAAACCTGATCTCCAACCGGACGTCAAACCTGATCTCCAACCGGACGTCAAACCTGATCTCCAACCCGACGCAAACCTGATCCAAGCCGACGTCAAACCTGATCTCCAACCCGACGTCAATCCTGATCTCCAACCCGACGTCAAACCTGATCTCCAACCTGACGTCAAACCTGATCTCCAACCTGACGTCAAACCTGATCTCCAACCCGACGTCAAACCTGATCTCCAACCTGACGTCAAACCTGATCTCCAACCCAACGTCAAACCTGATCTCCAACTCGACGTCAAACCTGATCTCTAACCTGACGTCAAACCTGATCTCCAACCCGACGTCAAACCTGATCTCCAACCTGACGTCCAACTGATCTCCAACCCGACGTCAAACCTGATCTCCAACCCGACGTCAAACCTGATCTCCAACTTGACGTCAAACCTGATCTCCAACCCAACGTCAAACCTGATCTCCAACCTGACGTCAAGCCTGATCTCCAACCCAACGTCAAACCTGATCTCCAACTTGACGTCAAACCTGATCTCCAACCCGACGTCAAACCTGATCTCCAACCTGACGTCAAACTTGACCTCCAACCGGACGTCAAACCTGATCTCCAACCTGACGTCAAACCTGATCTCCAACCTGACGTCAAACCTGATCTCCAACTTGACGTCACACCTGATCTCCAACCTGAGGTCAAACCTGATCTCCAACCTGACGTCAAACCTGATCTCCAACCTGACGTCAAACTTGATCTCCAACCCGACGTCAAACCTGATCTCGAACTTGACGTCAAACCTGATCTCAAACCTGAGGTCAAACCTGATCTCCAACCCAACGTCAAACCTGATCTCCAACCCGACGTCAAACCTGATCTCCAACCTGACGTCAAACTTGATCTCCAACCGGACGTCAAACCTGATCTCCAACCTGACGTCAAACCTGATCTCCAACCTGACGTCAAACCTGATCTCCGACCTGACGTCAAACCTGGTCTCCGACCGGACGTCAAACCTGATCTCCAACCCGACGTCAAACCTGATCTCCAACCGGACGTCAAACCTGATCTCCAACCCGACGTCAAACCTGATCTCCAACCTGACGTCAAACCTGATCTCCAACCTAACGTCAAACCTGATCTCGAACTTGACGTCAAACCTGATCTCCAACCTGAGGTCAAACCTGATCTCCAACCTGACGTCAAACCTGATCTCAACCCGACGTCAAACCTGATCTCCAACCCGACGTCAAACCTGATCTCCAACCTGACGTCAAACCTGATCTCCAACCTGACGTCAAAACTGATCTCCGACCTGACGTCAAACCTGGTCTCCGACCTGACGTCAAACCTGATCTCCAACCGGACGTCAAACCTGATCTCCAACCCGACGTCAAACCTGATCTCCAACCTGACGTCAAACCTGATCTCCAACCCAACGTCAAACCTGATCTCCAACCTGACGTCAAACCTGATCTCCAACCCAACGTCAAACCTGATCTCCAACTTGACGTCAAACCTGATCTCCAACCCGACGTCAAACCTGATCTCCAACCTGACGTCAAACCTGATCTCCAACCCAACGTCAAACCTGATCTCCAACTCGACGTCAAACCTGATCTCCAACCTGACGTCAAACTTGACCTCCAACCGGACATCAAACTTGATCTCCAACCGGACGTCAAACCTGATCTCCAACCTGACGTCAAACCTGATCTCCAACCTGACGTCAAACCTGATCTCCGACCTGGTCAAACCTGGTCTCCGACCTGACGTCAAACCTGATCTCCAACCGGACGTCAAACCTGATCTCCAACCCGACGTCAAACCTGATCTCCAACCTGACGTCAAACCTGATCTCCAACTTGACGTCAAACCTGATCTCCAACCTGAGGTCAAACCTGATCTCCAACCCGACGTCAAACCGGATCTCCCTGCCCTCCCCCCCTCTGTCCTCCCACGGCATTCCTTCCTCCTCTCTCTCATTGGCTGATCTGCCTTCCCTGGAACACCCCTCTGCCTGCATGCCAAGTCCCTTGCTCTTGTCTTGCCTGCTCATATCAGTCAGGTGAACCGCAATCAACTCTCAAAACAACATTCTGTTCTTTCATTTCTCCCTCTGTCCCTCCTCCCACTTCTCCTGTTCCATGGGAGCAGAGCCGGATCTGAGCCAGGTGGCACAGGTGTCGCTGCTGTACGGGTGGATGAAGGACCCCAAGACCACCTGCGATGACCTGGCGCGCCTCGTGGACGATGACGTGTCGGACGCGGTGCCGCCAGCTGGCAACGTGCTGGTGGAGCGAGGGCAGCAGCTGCTGAAGGAGTTCCCCACCACCCTGGGGGAGGATCTGCAGCTGTGGCGGCAGCTGCATGTGTGCAAGGCGCGCGTGCTGTTCGGTGCGGTGGAGGGGGGTGAGGGGGGTGATGGGGGTGGTGGGGATGGTGTGGATGCGGGGCAGTGCGGTGCAGATTATGTGAGGGAGCTGGGCGAGTGGGAGGTGATACTGAGGTATCGCATGATGAAGAAGTACATCCTCCGGCACCTTGTGGGCCGCCTCCTGCACACCTGTGAAAACTAACCGTGCTGCCATGGCCTTGCTGTCATACATGCTGCAGTTGTTTGGTGCACCTGTAGCTTATAGATTGATTTGGTCGTACATTTACAGTTCATGCCTCTTGTTGCTAACATAACATGTCCTCGCTGTAGAAACTGGCGCTGCTAACATGTCCTTACTGCTTTACATTACGTGCGAGCGAGTGGTTCAACCTGCAGGGTGGTTGGCATGTGAGGGCAGAGCAGTGGAGAAGGAGGCAGGGAGTCAGGGACAGGGGCAGTGCAGAGCGTGGCAGTGGCTGACAGGAGTGCACAATTCATCTTCATGTGGATGAGCAGCAAAGAGAGGCAGGCAGGCATCCCTCCAGCCACATTAGACAGGGTGTGCAATACTTCTGTCATACACCGTATGTGAAAACTAACTTATAAAACGTTAAAAGGATGGTCAAAATTTACACAGATTTAGACAGGATGCTACCCCTGTGACTCCAACCAGCTACTCCCTCCCTCCGGGCATCGCCTCTCCCCGCACCAGCCGCTGCTGCATTCATAAACGCGTCTCACAGCGCCTTGAGAATGTCTTCCGCGCTGCTGTTGGTGAACGCGCCGCCCTCTTCGAGGTTGAGCACGGTCACGACGCCGTCGTCCGCCAGCAGCGCGTACCGCCGCGACCGCACGCCCAGCCCCTTGTCCGCCAGATCCAGGCTCGCGCCCAGCGCGGCGGTGTACACGCCGCTGCCGTCCGCGAGCATCAGCACCTTGCCGGCGGCGTTGACGGAGTCGCCCCAGGCGCGCATGACGAAGGGGTCGTTGACGGAGACGCACGCGATGGTGTCGACGCCCTTGGCGCGCAGCTCGTCCGCCTTGGCGATGAACCCCGGCAGGTGCTTCTGCGAACACGTCGGGGTGAACGCGCCTGGCACCGCGAACAGCACCACCTTCTTGCCCTGCGCGGAGGGGGGAGGGGAGGGGGAGCGGGAAATTGGGGGAAAGGGGTGTGAGGGTGGGTGCAAAGAAGGGAGTGGGGTGGGAATCGACGCGGGTGGGGAGGAACTACGAGGGCGGATTGGGGTTCGCAAGGTTGGGATGAGGCATAACGCGATAGACGCAAGTGAGATAATTGAGCAGCCATGGCGTTCGTGCACGCATTGATGCTCATGCGTTGGAGCATTGTCACAGTTCCCGATGAATTCTGGGCTCGGCGACGAGGTGACTCGGCGACGCAGCTGCGACGCTCATCCGCCCGTTCAATTCCAATTCCTTCGCAATACAAAATGAAAGTCGAGGATGCGACATCCGCGTTACACACACCTTGGTGAGTGACTCGATAGTGATGGTCTGAAGCGCGCCCTCGGCGTCGAAGTAGGAGAGGCTGCCTTCGGGCAGCTTGTCGCCGACCTTGATCGTCGCAACCGTCGCCATGTGTCGCCGAGTCGTCTGACCGTGAGCAGGCGTCGCCGAGCGTCGGATGTCGCGGAGGCGAGTGCCGGAGAATCCGGTGGCTGGGGTACCCTGCTTGAAGGAGGCAGCGGCTGTGTGGAGGGCGGAGGAGCGCGAGATACGCGCGGCACACGCGGCACCGGTCAGTCGCAGTGCAGAGGACAAGGTGGCGGCAGCCATAGCTGAACGAGGGAGGAAGTGAGGGGAGCGAGGCGAAGAAGGGGAGGCGACTGACCTGAGGAGTGAGGAACGGAGATCTTGAATGGAGCGAACGAAATGTCGGAAAAATCAAGAATGGCTCTTCATATAGATGGAATTGTGTTGGTGCTTTGCTCTTGGCGTGGGTGCAAATGAACGAAATGCGACAAAGGAATCGAGGCAGACATCTCCTGCTTGCCCACATGGTCGGATTCAGGAAGTTTATTCAAAAGCTGACGTGTTAGTGCCACGCTGTCGCTGCCTGTATGGCAGCGACCGAGGCTTGCCGCGTGGCTCCATGTGACAGAGATCCCAATTCAATGTACACGTGTTTGCACAATCGATGCCAAAAAGAGCGGGTGCGTGAAGCTTGCGGAGACATAGTTCTCGCTAAAAGGAACGCATGAATACAAAAAACAGAGTTTGTAGATGAAGTACTCGATATACAGCTGGCAAGAAATTGCATATACTGCATTCATCTTACATGCTAGACCTAGCCTACTGAACACGATCTAATGGTCATTGTGACCCTAAGAACTCCATTAGCGTTTGCACATATTGCTCCGAATGAGTCTGAAGCACCTCAGTGCCGGCTGAATTTATGTGGTAGTACTTTCCCTTGCCCATCCGTGACGCTGCCATCATTGTCTCAAACTGGAAGGGGTCGTCACAGCCCGCCAGGCACAGCACGGGCTGCTGCACCTTGTCTAGCAGATCCCCGTGGTCCACTGCTGCATGTGCCTTGGCGAGCAAATGGCGCGTGGGCAGTGATTGAAGTCCCTCCATCACCTCTTCAACCTGAGGGTTGGAGAGGTCATGGGAGAACAAAAAACGCAGGACAACGCATGAGCACACAATCAGACGACACAAGAAAAAGAGCAGGAAAAAGGTTGTGCAGAAAATGTTTCGAGTGGTTTATGGGTGAGGGGAGGTGACTTACGAGTTGATGAAGAGGCACATGGTGGGCTGTACTGCGCATCAGCATCTGCTGCACTGCCACCGCCACCACGCTCTGTGGAGCAGCAGCCGCCGCACCATCCCCATCCCCACCCCCCGCGCTTATTGCCTGCACGGCAGCTGCGAGCAGCTTGGAGCGCTCGTCCTGCGGCATGACGCCCCACAGCCCCACCCGCCTCACCCGCGCAGGGAACACCGCCGCCATCTGCAGTGCTAAGCTCGCCCCGAATCCATGGCCAACCTACAGCATGGCGAGAATAGGAAGCAGACGTCGCGAGGAAAGGAGGAGACGGGGTGGGGAACGCGGTAAGGAGGCGAGCGGACGAGGGTAGGTGAACCGAAATAAGCTTGAGGTGTGCAAAGAAAAAACATCAAACAGAGATGACGAGCAGTTTTTTTTTCTGCAACGAGCAGGGATGGGGCGGGTGAAGGAACACCCACGAGGTCGAAGCGTTGCGTGAAGCCGACGTTGATGGCGGCGGCGACGGCGATAGCGCCCATCTCCAGCATGCTGTAGTCGCGACACGCCGCCGTCGTCTCGCCGCACCCCGGCAGATCCACGGCCAGCGCGCAGCACCCGCGCGCCGCCAGCAGCGGCAGCACAGGCGCCCACATGGCGGACGATCGCCCCGCGTCGTGCAGCAACACCACCGGATGGCCGGATCCGCATCTGCACACAGCACACGCCACGAACCGCGGCCCACAAAACGATATGAGACCCAAGCTCTCGTAGCGGGGAGAAAAGCAAAAAACGTTGTGAGTTGTCTCGCAACAGTAGCGTACCTGCGGTAGTGAACCTGACCGCGCGGTGTTGTCGCATACCCCTTCACGACAGCCGCTGCCTCCGCGCCTCCCATGGCTTGCTCACCCTCCGATTGACTCGCTGCCTGCACCGCTTCTCGTTGCCGCGCGCCGTCTGGTGTCGCAGGCTCGCTGGAGCACCTTAATCGCTCGTTGTCGCCCGTTCTAACGCCGACCCTCACGCTGCTGCGTTGCGAATCCATGCTACTACCCGCAGACTCACTCCGCCCTAGTAAAGCCCGCTGGTTAGCGGGAATCAGGTGGGTTGAAAGGAAACCTCCGGCACTGCTGCCACTGTCATCCCGCTCGCTGTCCGTCCGCGGCCGTTTAGACACCCTACGGTCATCCGGCGCTTCCCGGGAGTGACTCCGCGCCGAGGCACGCGCGGACGGCGAAACATCCAAAATTCCGCGGTCGCAGGGAGTGAGGGATGTCCGAGAGGCGGTGATGACTTGATCCATGGAGGACGCGGAGCAGCTGACACTTGGACTCGGGAAGGGCAGCGCGAATCACGGATTCCGATTGCACGAGCTTGGGATCAGATGACTCATATTTGGAAGGCAAACATGGTTGCGTGACGAGGTGGTTAGCAAGTGTGACGATGCCAGTTTTTGGAAGCTGGAAGAGTGTGAATTGCAGAGATAAGGGCGGTGGAGGTGCTGCAGCAACAAGGTGTCAAATGTAGGTAAGGTTCATGCAGAGAGCACAGCTCACATGCCATCTCAGGCTGTTCTGATGGCAATCAGTGAGACACACCTCTCTCTGCCCAACTGCTGCAATGAAAAGCGTGGTGCGCTGTCGCGTGCCTTCATTGCGCGTGCAGCACTCTGCTGCTCAATGTGGCTGAGATGAAAGGAAGGCTCAGCAATTGGCTGGCGAGGGGTCACTCAACCCAACCCAAACCCCAATTTTCCTGGTGGGAGTGGCTGAAGGGACTGATTGAAGTTTTTCCCCAGGAACCATCCAGACGGTTCCCCTCACTTCTACGAGTCTATTTGATTAGGATGGAATGATGCGGAAAAAATGAAATTTGGTCACGCATTTCCGGACTTTTCTAAGGTCCAGGATGAATAGAAATCCATCGCATGTATATTAAAGTGTGTCTCTAACTACCGCCCGTGTCCCCTGTAACTACAAGCTGAGGGTATTCTGAAGGATTTATTAAATTTCCCGAAACACGATCACCCTTGACGGAATCACCTCCCCGTCAAATTTCAGTGTTATGTCAATCGTCGGGACCCACGAGCGTGAAACAAGGCAAAGCCAAAGCACTCTCGTCTGTCGTTAATGTGGAAATGATGAAACAGATTCACGTGATGAGCACGCGTGCCGATACTCGAGAACGCGTGTGTGGTGGGTGGTGGTGGTGGGAGGTGGGCCAACTGTATTTTTTTCCCTCGCACAGTTCCGGTGTGAGTAACCTACCTTTGCGGCCTGTGTCTGCGGTTTAGCCAAACACGGTGGGAAAACAGTACTGCTTTCAATCAGTTTATTAGAGCGGCACACATTATGTTCGGACATTCCGTCTGAAGATATGAAGGTGCAAGCACCTTTCAACAGATACAGGTTGTGATCTGAAGCACCCGGTACCTAAAATCGCCCAATGGTATTCCGAAATGTAAAAAGGGCTCTGAATCAGGAATTACCTTCAGTTTTCTAGGCCACACTTCATACACAGTTCTGTACAGTCATTGCATGTGGATTGCCCAGTTTGGAAGAACGGGTTTCCAGAGGGTGGCGCTACACGCCAAAGCCAAATTCACGCGTTCGACAACTCAAATCCGTCCAATATTCCTACCCCATCACTTCAAAAAAATATTAGAGTCATTTAAAATTGTTTTTCTGTACTGAAGAAATTCAAATCGTACACTTCAAGCCCGTCAATACACAGTCATGCTTGAGCTACTATCCTGAATAGACAGCTCCCTGCCATTGACTGCGAAGGCTGACCCCCAACCCCAAGCCTTGAACCTTGGGATTCTTCCCTGAAACCTCCACAAGCCGAGATGTCTTTCCTGCCGCAATATTAACGCGTAGGTTGTTGTTTAGTTAGGTCACGCAGTATACTGCGTGCTGATTGATATATTATCCGGAGTTTACGCGTGGATACCTACGGGTTCCCCTGCGCCAGGACTGTCCGTAGGGAGCAGCCATGGCGAAGGATAAGGGCCGGGTGGAGTCGGGGAAACGCAAGCAAGGACGAGAGTCGAAGAAACAGCATTCGCAGTCCACCCGACGGTTCAGAGTGAGCCATACTCGAAGCTAATATCTCTAGCGCTATAAAACCAGACACGACCAAGTCACAACTCGTGTTCAGCAAGGTGTTGTGATGCTCAAACAGCGAATAAGGCTAGTCCAGCGAGAAATTAATAGGTTTGTACGTGAAGAGTGTATGACCTGCACGCGTTTGCTCAGTTAATGCTGAATCTCAACAAAATCCTCCGACATTCATGCATCCTCGTCTTGTCCCCTGAACCCCAACCCTTTGCGCGCGTCGTTCCTTGCCCGCGCCCCGCAGTTCAAGAGCTTCACGCGGCAGGTGGAGGAGGCGCAGGTGGATGTCTTCCGCTCGCTCGCGCCCGCGCAGCAGCAGCCCTCCGCCGGCTGCTCCTCCTTCTTCCAGCAGGCGCTGCTGCACTGGCGGGTCAGTCCCCGCCCTCGCCCTCTCCTTTTCCCCTCACACCCTCGTCGTGTGGATTCCATTTCTCACCCGCTGCTCCCTATGCCTCTCCATGCCCTCCCATGCCCTCCCATGCCCTCCCATGCCTCCCATGCCTCCCATGCGCTCCCATGCCCCCAATGCCCCCCCCCCCCAATATCCCCCCATATCCATCATGACCCCCCATAAACCCCCATTACCTCCCATACCCCCAATGCCCCCCCATGCCTCCCCATGCCCTTCCATACCCCCTAATGCCTCCTCCTCCCATCGCCCATCTCCCCCCATTGGTCACCCGCTAATGTCCCCCCATACCCCTTTCTCGCCGTGCACAGGAGCTGAGCGCAGCGGTGGATTTCAACGAGGTGCACAGCGAGGTGGCGCCGCTGGTGGCGTCGCTGGCGCAGCTGGTGTTCCACCGCCACCGCATCGTGCACGCGCTGCGAGCACGCCTCTCCATGCGCGCCCTCCTCTCCCTCCCACCCCTCCTCAGGTGCCCACCCCTCTCCTCTCCCCCCTTCGCCTCGCCCCCTCCCCTTCGCTGCTCTTATTTCACCCTTGTGTATGCATGTGACACTGCCCCTCACGTGCCGCCCCTCACGTGCCGCCACTAGAGCCCCTCTGGTGTCGACGTGGCACCAACATGTGCGCGTTCATCATTGTTACTCCCCTCCCTCTCCCCCCCTCCCCCTCTCCCCTCCCCAATCTCCCCTCTGCCCTGTCTGCTCTCCTTTCTGCCCTCTCCCCTTGCCCCTGTCCTGCTGCGCGCATGGGCACAGCCTGCTATCCACACTCGCACGGGACCTGCAGCACGACTTCCTGCCGTGAGTGCTGCCACGCCCGTGCACTGCAAGGGGCATGGTGTGACGGAGTGGCAAGGGTTGGGATGTGCTGTGAATGATGTGAGGGCGTGGCGTGCTATGTGAGTAATGGCAAGTTCTCCTCACTCATGACGCCTCTCACTGCTAGACTCTAAATCTTGAACCCGAAACCTTAAACCTTGTTTCCACCTTGTCTGTGTCCCGCCACGCCTCTTGCTTTCCAATCACTCCTGCTGCTCCCTCGCAGCTTCCTGCCGCTCTGCCTGGACACCTGCTTGCGCCTGCTGCAACAAGGGGCGGACAGAGACGCCGCCGTGCTACAGCAGGTGAGCCCTCCTGTGCCACTCTCTTCATGCTTCTCAACCAACCTTCGCTTCGTCTCTGAATTCCCCCCCACCCAATTACATTCTCCTCGCTCCTACCCTCTGTTCTCGCCCCCCGTGCCCCCCCGCCCACCCCCCCCCCCCCCGGTGCTCTTTAGGTGGTGGAGAGTGTGGCGCAGATGGTGAAGCACCTGCGCCACTACCTCACACCTGACATCGTCACTCTCCTCAAGTGAGCCGCCTCTTCCCCCTCCCCACCCTCCCCTCCCCTCTCGCTGCATGGCCCTCGCCACGACACCGGCCTCCTGTCTCTCACCTGCCCTGCCCCGCGCTCGCCTCCTCGCTTGCTGCCAACCCACCCTTTTCCTTCAAACCCCATGATGCTGCTGCTCCGGCCTATCTTCTTCCCCCCCTCTGCACCCCCCCACCCCTTCACCACCTCTTCCATTTGCCTGCCCCGTCGTGCCTCCTCCTCCGCTCCCCTTCTCCCGCCACTCTTCCCCCATTCCCCCATATCCCGCTGTGAGCAGGATGACCAAGGCACTGCAGTTCTACCCAGCGGACTATGTGCGTGAGCTGGTGGCGCACAGCCTCGCCTTTGTGCTGCGCACCCTCCCACCCCTTCACCACCTCTCCCCCCACTCCCCCCCCCTCCCCCCACAACAGGATGACCAAGGCACTGCGGTTCTACCCAGCGGACTATGTGCGTGAGCTGGTGGCGCACAGCCTCGCCTTTGTGCTGCGCACTGCTCCGCCCAAACAGATGGCCAGAGGTGCGCAGGGGGGGTGGTTTGGAGCGGAGGGGGTTGTGGAGTAGGGTTGGGATGGGAGTGGACTGGGGATGGGATTGGGTGCGGTGGGGGGAGAGGGTGTGAGGGGCGTGACAGACACGGCAAGATGGGAGTGTGAAGGAGAGGAACGGAGTAGTGAAGGAGCACTTCACATGGGGAATGGAGATTAACAGAGGAGCAGGTTAATAGAGGAACGGATGCAGGGGGCAGGTATCGTGCATGTAAGAAGTGGTTTGCCTCGTGCTGCCAGGCAACATGCGCTCGTCTGCTGCAGTGCATGTACCAAGCCTCTCTGGGTTTGTATGCCTGTACGTTGCAATCCAATCCTAGCCAATCCAATCCAATCCTAGCCAATCCAATCCAATACAATCCAATCCAATCCAATCCAATCCAATCCAATCCAATCCAATCCAATCCAATCCAATCCATATCCTCCATCTCATCCCCGTCCCCCCCTTTCCTCCCTTCCCTTTTCTTCCCTGCCCTCCCTTGACACCCCCAGGCGTGCGGTGGGTGCTGGCAGAGGCTCGGGCGGTGGTGAGTGAGGAGAGGGAGAGCGGGGTGGCGCTGCTGCTGGCCAATGCAGCCAAGGGCCCCGCGCACTCGCTG